TTCAGGTAGAGACGAGAGCATTGAGGGCCAACACGCCGCTGTTTTACAATGGTAATTTGTTATGGGCAAAGCTTTCAATCAGTGATCCTCCCATTGAAGAGGAAAACCACCTAGTTAAAAACTGTGCCTATACAAAGACGTAATTCATGTTACAGGGTAAGAGATATTCAGGGGTTTTCACATAAGCATCATTTGACAGTTAATAAAATCAAAGGAAATGTACAATAGTACGACATTAAGTGCCATAAGTGCATTGAAAAACATTAAAGTCTATTCAAAATTGTAAAAGCAATCAATAGTTGATTTTACTTGATATGACAGGAAAACGGCAAACTAATGATATGAAATCGATTGTCAAATATCTCTTATAGATGATTTTGAGAGATCTGTGCCAGGCTACAGGTAGAGACTAGCTCATTGAAGTTAGCGGGCCGCTGTTTTAGCAAGGCTGTGGTTTCGCTTTGGGCAAACGGGTCTTCAGTGGTAGTCCAGGAAAGGGCAACCACCATATAATAGGCATGCCGGAGCAGGGAACTTTGTGGAATTATCATTATGTTGGCGAGATTTTAGAAGAGGGCGTCCAGACAGACTGCACTCAGCTGATGTACTCGTCGATTACAGATTCCTCTAGCAGCAATGCAAAAGCGAGATGCTACTCAGTTGGCTGGCATTCACTGATTTAAGCTGCAGATAGTATCACTGGATCCTAAATATCCGGGTATGTACATATGTTTGGTAATTTTTCAGATATCTCACCTTGAAGTGCACACGTAGATTGGGCCCGCGCGCCTTGCACGACTTGGCCACGTTGTCTGACTCGCGTGAGTAACGGCCCATTGTTTATTATCTAAAACAAACATTTAAAATTAGTTAAGTTACACAAAAACTTATGATTCCTATACATAAAGAAGGCTATATAAGTCTTGCCCTGGCTAGTGCTATTTCACCGCAGTTTTATGCGTTCGGACACAGAATTACTGTTTGCTTGAATTTAAGGCCGGCTGATCGGTGTTTGTAAACTTTAAACTAAACTTTACGCTGCGGTCGCATTATATTTCTTATTAACAGATTTTTGTTCTGAAATAATTTCAATTAAAATCAAAATTGAAGCTGCAATCAAAACACGTGCAAATTAAAAACCCCAAATCGGCTGCCTGTATGTATGTGTGTGCGTGCCTGTAAACAACAACCCATAGGGCCGATTTTTTTGATTTTTAATACCACAAAATCTACTTTAATTAGAAAAACATTAGTAGAAGCACATTACTTGAAAAATTAAGACTTTTTAGAAACATTTGCACATGCACACACACATACATGCGCAACGATAACACTACACATATTTTGGCGACATTTTTCACCATTTTTCACAGAAAAAAAAGAAGTAATATCAGAACACGTATTATAATCCATGTAGCATATTTGTTTACACGATGTAACTTGTTTTCTTGGCCCGCAGGCCCACATTAAAAAAATATTTAACATAAAAAAAATAGGGGTTAAACAATTTGCACGCATTTTTTTGCCGGTCATCTGACAGCTTATTTTACCACCTAAACTCGCTCTGCAAACACAAATTAAACACGACCACAGACAAATTGAAGTGCCCTGGGTTAAAATAATGCAATTTACAAACGTTTTAAGTGGTAATTTTCAGTAAATAAGTCGCGGAGCACATGCACTCACCGGAAACGAGAAAACGAAAAGACAGGATACGGCGTTGCCAGTTTTTAGAATCGAATCGGTCGAGTTGCAATGCCGACTAAATACTGTAAGTAACGGTCACACTTATTTCATCGTAGACACAAACCGCGGGTTGGAACAGTGCTGATAGCGTGGACTTTTTCTATAGGTTTTAATATCTCGATTCTAAACCGATTTTTAAGTTTTACATCTCAGGCTTTTGCAATTTTCTAATGGCTAACAGAAAAAGTCCCCAAAACTGCACTTCCAGAGCCCATGGCGTGACCAATTAGAATCAGACATCAAAGCGAAATAGAAGAAAGCGTTGGTAATTATATTTATTAATAAACTGCATTAATTTTTTATTTTTGGGTTGATTTTTTGTCGTTTTTATGATGTAACCCCTTTTCAAATTTCTGAAAATTGGCTTCGCTGAAAGGTGTACTTTTCCCCAGCACTCTTAGTCCATTACTTTTTTAATTTATCTCAGATTTTTTTTGTAGTTTCGTTTTTTAACTAAGTGCATCATCAGCCTCATTTTAATTTTTGTAACGATTTTTTGAAAATTGTAAAAAATTTGATTAAATTGTCAAACGCAAGTTTAAACCAGGGGTCATTAGATCTTCAGTTTTACGCTTTACAAAAGCCGATATTTAACTTATTGTTTCGAAGACTACTGTTTATTGCTAGTCATTTAAGCGTATTATTAAGTGCAACGTTCTCGAAGCCGTGCATAAATTACTTAATTCAGTTCTAAACAATGGGATACTTCTCATAGATTAAAATTAAATACATTTAGTTAAATCATAAATATTTGCATATTTTATTGGCCTATATTAAATTGTGTTAAAAAACAGCTCGTTTATTAAGAGAAGTACTTTTTGATTTGTGGTTTCTCGTAATTGATGGAATTACTTAAGGAAAAAACTGAGTATAATTATCCTTTATTGGCCTGGGAATTTTCCACCGATAATTTGGACTTTGTGGTTTTTGGCAATGTGGAAAACAACTAGCACTGGAGGGCAGTGCTTTTTATTAAAGCAACCCGTTAAAGCCGATCGAGTTGGAAGCCATAAAATGAGGTGGACACTAACCGCATCGTATTGTCCCTTTTTCTGTTAGTCATTTATTAGCGCGTTCGTTTTGGACATGTCAGTAAAAAAGCCTGTTGCTAATCGGCCGGAGATCACAAAAAAGACTGCCGATCAAACCGGTTGAGAAGGAAGAGGTACTCCACCACTCCACCACCAAATCCTGCGGCAAATTTGGGTTCTTTGCGCAGTCCAGTCGAGCGACAAAAACAAAAAAAAAACGGCTTTATTGTTTTGTAATTTGTGCGAATTTTTACACTCGAGTATTTTTAGAGTCCGTGTACCCATTCAATTTATTCATGATTCACGCCTAATTGCAGGTGTCTCGATCGTTTGGATTTCCATCTCTTGAGGTCAAGTGTCGAGGAACTGAACTGTCGCCAGCGTTTGGAGTTGCACGTGCCTTAGTCCACATCGCTATCATGTCGTTCCCTCAAGGATCCGGTTCCGAGCACAGTGGCACTTAACTGGAGCTGCCAACCGAGGGCTGCCTTGGAATTCGTGGTTCGTGGGCGTTCAAGCAAGACCATAAAAAGAACAGCACTTCCAGAACAAAATGGTAACGAACCAAACAAACCAAACCGAACTAAACCGTACCGAGCCGAAGCAAACTAAAGAAATCACAACTAAGCTAGGCAATCACCCAAATCAACTCGAACTTGACACCACCCACGAAACCCCGAAACCACCCAACCACTTGACGTCACAGCGGTGGAGCTCTGTTGACCAAGACGGCGTTTAATTAGCATGGAAAAAAGTACCCGAAAGACCAAACACCTGCAAGCCAAAAACAAAAAGCACAAACCACTCGAGAGGCGTTCGAAAACCACCAATCGAAACTGGTTCCGAGATCTGCGAATTCGTGGGTTACGGGATCGGAGGCCGGAGAACGGAGAACGGAGCCCGGAGATCCGTGAGTCAGCAGCCGCCTATCATATGCACCGATTTACGGCACGCACACAAGTTTCCTTGGTAATGATAGGAGGAGGAGCGTACCGGCCAAAAAAATCCCCCCAAATTGCAGGACGTCAAGCTTCGCTGGTAACTGGATTTTGCAGCGATGTTTTTTAATGTATTCCTCGAATTCAAGAGCTCCTCTCTTAACACTCAGCAATTCTCTTGGGCTAAATACAAAGTTAAAAGGTTTTATTTTTAGTTTTATGCAAGACAAAAAGAAATGGAATCAAAGATGTGCAGTGTAATACTAATATGCTCGTATTTTGTACTTACTCATCTGGGATTATTAAATGGAGAAGTATGTGAGAACTGGGCATATTCAACCACAGTGCACGAGTGGGTTAACTGAAGCATAACAAGGGGTCACTCGAAGGGACTGTCCGCATAACATGGCACAGACAAGCACCACTCATCATCAGCGTTCTGAGATCTCACGGGAGAAATGAGACGGTCCGAAAGGCAGACATTGGGGGGAATCCACGGCAGTCGCGATTATGCGTGGATTTTCCATCGCCGCCAACTGGTTTTCTCTGCGGTGATTCGTTTGTTTTCGCTGCTCTTCGAGAGAACGGCGTAAACAGATCTCCGAGGCGGGATCAAGGGCAACACGATCATGATCAGCGAGCATGCAGCCCAAGATGATCTGCTGAATGGCCATGACTCGAGTCAGATTCTATTCCGAAATATTCCGAAATATTTTTCAGCAGGCTGTCGCTTTGACTTATGGGCTCTAAGTCATAAAGTTGGGTTATTTGTGATAAGTTATTTGTAAGGGTAACCACAGCTGAAAAATGATTAGTACTTGTCTAAGATTCGAGGGGGTAATAACTAAACGGCCATAGAACCCCCCATCTGTGGACTCGTCCCGCTAAGTTTGGGTGACAAGTGGAGAACACCTGCGGTCAGTTCAATCAAGGCAGAAACGGAGGCTCGGCCGATGGGATCGGGGAGCCCGATTAATCAGGCCTTTGTTCGAACCGAACTGCAGATACTATTTTTGGGATGGAAGGGTTACACATTCTTCCCGCTGGCGGTTCTTGACTAAGCTCCCCAGCCAGCCAGCCAGACAGCCATCCAGTCAGCCAGTCAGCCAGTCAGCTTGCCAACAAAGAGCGCTCGGCTCGGCTCTTTCTGCCTGCTCGACTGCTTCGCTCGCCCGCCTTTCGACTTCTCGCGAGCTGAAACTTTGCATTGTTTTGCCGGCGATGGCAGCGAAGTCGGCGTCGCCGTTTGGTTGGTTTTCCTTTTTAAAAACGACGATGGACCGAGCCATGTTTTAGTTCTGTTTGCAAAACGCAGCCAATTGGACGTGCCCCAAAATAAACAGCCCGAGCCCGAGCCATAGCCCAAGCCCAAGCCCAACAGAGACTCAAGACTCAAGCCCAAGTCTGAGTCCGAGTCCGAGTCTGAGTCTGAGTCCGAATCCCAGTCCAGAGGCAACTTTTACGGTTCGGACCGAACAGTGTGTTTTCTGCCATCGAATTGTTTGTTCTGTGTAAGTGTCGACTGTAGTGTCGCGTTATCTCCGTCGATGCTGATTGAAAAAAGAAAGATATTGGAAGATTGGAATATTAAACGCCTTGACAGTTCTCAATTGCTCGACGACGCGTGCTTGTGTGCAATTAATTTGAATCCATCGGGGGGTACAATAGTTCTCGACAATTTTTGTGTGTCAGTGCCAAAGCTATAGATCGACCGGTCGATCGATCGATCGTCGAACGAACAAGAACATTACAGCAGCCCGTCAGAGTGGAAAAGTGTAAGTTACCGGGATATGAATCAGTGACTTTTGCTTGGGAAAGACCAAAAAACCCCAGAGCTTCTATTCAAAACGTGTGACAAACCGATTCAAGCGAAGATGAGAAATTAATGAGGAATTCAGGGCAAAAAAGGAGCGTGTTATGGTACAATTAAGACACAAAATAATACCTATTAAATGTTGTATTGCGTATCTTTGTAAGATTTCTATAACGCAGCTGACGAGCATTCCCCGTCAAAGAGAGCTCATAACTATGAAGATGCATCATCAAACAATACAGACAATATGAGGTGCTAATCCCAAATCGATGATCTGATGATTGATGGTCGCCCACGAGCAGTGATCTGTGAAATCAAGTTGCTAGTGTTTGGGCTTCTCTGCTGAAGTAAAAAGGTTTGCCATTAATAAACAGCAACAAGCTCCCCACTCGCTGGAGAAGATTTCGGCGGGACGGAAAGTGGGGGAGGAGCCGAAGGCACTTGTGGTGCAAAGTAAACCACTGAACGTATGTGTTTGAGCTTCACAATATTGACGCAACTCAGTTGCTGTCAACAAATTACGAATGACACTCCCACAACCGAAAACTAATGAGGCCTTAAGTTGGGACTATCTTATCGGCGAAGAACAGGAAGGAAAGCCCCGAACCGAGACCAAAAATCGATAGTACAGACTCCCAGACGAGAAAGACTAATGAGTCTCGAATGCAGTCGATCGATCGGTTGAATAAGTTAAATAAGGTAGCAGGCGGGCAATTTGTTAGAACATGTTAATTTGGCATTATCGCAGAAATTGAAAGCTCGATTTAGAAAGGAATTTATTAAACAATTTCTGGAGATTATTTATTTTGACTTCGAACTAGACAGCGACACGATTCGGTTTTTTTCCCACATCAAACAGAACATCTGGTGGGCGTCTTTTTAGAATCCCCTTGCCCTTGCCCCTGACTTTTTTCGATGAGAGGTCGGTCATATTGTTGTGGGCAGTCACGAAGATCCGAGATCCGAGATCCGAACGGAATGCAAAAATATAGAAATCTTTTATGGAGAAGTTAAAATTGCTAATGAACACTGGCAATTGCATAAGTGTGTCTGATTTTGATTAACATTCCCTTTTCTATAATTTATATGAGCTTTTCTAATTCTAACAATGCCCGTAGAAGGTCAAGTTGCGATCTCCCGATTGGGAAATCAAAAAGACGAGAATGGCAATGAAAGTGAACCTCTCCCTAGGATCGCATCACATCTTTGAGCGCTTGTTTGATACCCAGATCGATTGTGATTGCTGGAATGGAATGCTGGAAACGCTTGTTGAAAATTAGAAAGGTTGCTCAGGTGTCGCAGACAATTAGTTTTAATTGATTGTTCTCGCTGGCATCCAGTTCCAGTTCGAGAATAGCCTAATTGTTTGACCACTCTAATTATGCCGTTAAACCGAATTGCGCCCAAGATAGTCCGGCCATCTGGCACCCGAGAGCTGTGCGGCACTTGCTTTATGAGTAATTTATGGCCCGATCTGTGACTAGAGCCAGCGCAATCAAATTTAATAAGCAACCCACTCATTAGGGGCCGGGTGTCAGGTAATGAGAAGCCGTGATGGGTATCTCTGAGTCGAATCTAGATCTAGATCGCTAACATCTCCGCTTAACTCGTCGTCCGCTCGATTTGCATTTGGCGAGCGAGCGGTGACCACGTAACTACCCGTAATTCGGGTTATACAGTCCGGCAGGCAGTCATTTTCGTTCGGAACCCCCCGAGATTAAGCAAACAGAAAGTCCGAGACACAGTTTGCCCGATGATGATTGGCAACTTTGCGTTAGTTGCACCCGGGGATTGCTTCCATCGCTGTGGTCACTGGTGGCCGTTTTAATTTATGCTAATGGCGGAATGGTTCCATCTGTCCCACCCCCAGAGCCCTTAGCCAGAGGCCCCAGGTCGCACTTGGATCGGTTCACGTGGGCACGATTCGCGGATCCGATCCGATAACATGGCATTCGCATTAGCATCTGGCGATCGGGAGTGCAGCTTCCCAGTTGCCAGGTGTGATCGCTTCGGCGTTTTGTAATTCATTAAGATCAGGTTCCCAGCACCTGGCCGATTTGAGCTGATTCACTGGCCGTTTATCTTCGACCTGTCATGTCCCCAGCCATCGTTTAGGGACCGATGAATTTCCCGATTGGCTTGGTGGTGTTGTGGTGGTTCTTCTGGTAGAACACCGCTTCGCATTACTCCACTTTCTCTTCCATAACGGATTATTGCAGATCCCCGCTTTTACGTAAGCTTGATCCGCAGACATCCGGCATTTCGCCAGGTGGCGTCGGTAGCACTTAGCACTTCGCTCATAATGGCAGTGCAAATCATGTGACTTCCCTGACACTTTGCGTTTGCTAACTGACCACTCTCAACGGCAATCCAGGGGCTGATGGCTTCATTTCGACGGCGAGTGCCGTGAATAAATCAAAACACGAGCCAGAATGGGATAGGGGCGTTACCCTGCCATTAGCTACTAACGAGCTGCAGAATGGATGTGTTCGCACGGACAGGTGTCAGGGTCGTACCGTTGCCTACGTCACGCAATCTTAGGCGGGCCCCCGAAGATCTCCCTCCCACAGCACCGTGCAAGCCACTCAAATGGCTGATAATCGTGGGCGGGAATCCAAGAGACACCTGCCACAGAGGCCTAGCCAATAAATTAAGAATATTTATTCGCTATTTATTTAAAGCCAACATCTGGCACCCCGCGTCCACCCAGAAGCCATTCATAATTGCTGGCCAGGTTAACCTTGACTGCGGTTACAAGTCGGGCTGATAAACCGCATTTATAGCCAACTTAATACAATTGTATAATGTGTACAATGTGTAATGGGCATGCTTGAGTGCCGGCCACTTGTCTGTCTGTCGCTCTGTCGGTCTGTCGGTCTGTTGGCCTGTCTGTCTGTTTGGCTGCCTGTCAGCTGTTCAAAGTGCTTTGCATAGACAACTTAAGAGGCTTATTAGTCGCGAGCTAATCGAATCGGGGTTAAACATGACTTGGGTTTATCTTGGCTTACCTTTTTACCGCAGCTGGAAAGTTCGCAGAAGTACTTGGCTTTAATTGCCGGGCCAATTCAGATTAATAGAGATTTTAAAAGCACTTCATATATGTACCTTCATTCCAGCAGTTCGGAAAACGTCGTGGCTCGCACACATCCGAAAATCTATGTGCATATCGGAATCGAAATTCGCACATTAGTTTAGAAACTGCAGCCTGTAGGCCGCAGTCTCTAGTCCCCAGTCGATTCGAGGCAGCCAAGCCTGACCGTTCTTGGTCTAATCTTGTCACGAACATTAGTCAACTCGATGCTGTAACACTACGGCTACGACGTTCTAGCAATGGCCTGCAATTTGGCATTGCGTGCCGTGGGGGTGGGAGGTCAAAGCAGTGTTCAGTCGGACTTACCTTCCAAGTAGCTGGGCCCCAAAATCAGAGCAGTGGAAGTGCAGGCTTAATTTGCAAATACAGTATTAATTAGCCTACACAACAATTAAATGCAAATTCAAAGTTTTATGCTATGAACAATTCCATTTTCACTAATTTCATTGTTCGAAAGACATGCATTTTTTCCGAGAAGTAGGTTCTAATGTTTAACGCTTCAACGAGCCCACTCGATAGTCAATTTACGAGCTGCATATCCAGTGGCCTTGCCAAAGAAAGCGAAAGAGGCGAGTTCCTCCAGGGGGCTTCAACCGGTCACGTTTGGTCGGGGGTCCGGTTTTGGGTCTATTACGCTTGGCGCCTTGGCATTGAACTACCACTGCGAAACTAGATAGACGGCACGCACTGACGGATGTGGATGTAATGCACGAGCAAGGTTCTCTGACGAAACAACTGCGACGTGCCTGGTCAAAACCGAAGCGAGGATTTCCATAAGAATCGCCCAATAAAAACCGTTTCATTCAATCCGGACAATAGTCCAATGTCAAGGTTGCCTCTTGGCATTTTGCTAAGCCGCTAACAAACAACCAGAAACAACGCTCAGCTTCCTAAATTGAATTTGCATTAAATATGAGACTAGACTCACGTGTGAGCTTTAGTACCAAAACGGTGATACTCGTATTTATGGCTTGATAAATGCCAACGCGCATCACGAAGCGATCTTGGCCAAAGATTTACAAGGGGCAAGACCGCCAAACCGCTGGCGCTTAATAGCTATTATTATTCAAATTGCACTAAACATTAGGCCAAAAAAGTCGAAACCAGAATATGCTGAAGTACGAATGCGGAGAATGAGGGCCCAAAGCTCTGTAAGCGTTTAGTGTTTGATTTACAAACACGAATCGACGCCCGAACAATAAGTTCACAAGACAAGCCAGTGCTAAAATGGTCAATAGCAAATAACTTCTCAATAAACCAGGCGGTCAATACACCGAGCATCCGCATTCCTGAGGCCTTTTGTTCAACCGCATATCCGTCGGATAGCAAATGTGTCTGGCCACTATTTTTCCACCCATGTTCTCAGCGATTCTATGGCCTGACCTTGACGGCTTTTGACAGCGCAGCAATTGTAAGGCATAGCCGAAAAAAGAGAGACTCAGAACAGCAAAAGCAAATTAACTTGATTGATTAAAGGAATTTTGGTAACGCATGTTGGCGGGGAGGGCGTTTGGCCGTCAAAAGTCAAGTCGAAGCCGAAACGCCGGGGCTCCAGCAATAAGTTGTTGCCGGGTTCAAGATTACGAAGTTTTTTTAATGGCGGTTTGCCAAAAATTAATTTGCCCGCCTTCGAGAACTGAGGGAATAGCCAGAAAACAAAGTGCCTTAATCAATTTGTTTGGTACAGTAGAGGATTGTTTTGGATCAGTCGAACTGTAGTATTAGAGATTCCATGGATCCGCCAGTTTTCCCACTTAAACAATTGAAGCTTAGATAAGCACCATTTAAGCCATTTTGTATCTGAATTTATATTCTTCAATTATATTTAAAGCCGCGGAAAACCGCCTTTCCATTATCATACCATTAACTGATTTATCATTAGTAGAGTACTTTATGCGTTTTAAAGTAACCGGTTTTTGATCTTAACTTAACTGTCACCACCTGCAGAGCTCCGATTGAGGATCATTATGCCGGCAATGTATCCGGATAGTGCTCGTTAGAATCCGCCCCTCGTATCACGTTCGCAGAAATTGCCTTCGCTTTCCGCTGCGAGGGAGAATTATAGACATTGGGCCAAGTTCCTTTCGAAATTCCAGTCACGACAAATCCGTCAAGTCAAACGACTAATGCGATATTGCATTATGCAGCTGACCCGCGAACTGACACTCGTAGGCTGCTAGTCTCATTAATTGAGTGCTCGCAGATTATTTGTCATTATGTCGAGACACTTGTTTGCATGTTTTCTCTTTTGTTCCAATAAAAAGTTAGGTAGCTGGCAGTCCAAATGAAATTCGTGTCAGTTTGAATTGCCTGTGACGTAGTATGTAAATGCGAAAACTAATCGCGATCGCGATCGCCTTATCTCTCTTGCAGTCAACGGCTCCCAACATGATTCCGATTCTTGAGAAACTGAGTGGGTTCTACAACTCGTATGTTTTGGCCGTACTCACCATTGGCTACATCCTGGGCGAGCTGGGACACTATCTGATCGGCGTAACATCCAAGCAGACCGCCATTGAGCTGGACTATGGGGACCATGCCTGCCAGCAAAATACCTCGATGTTCAATCGCCACGAGCTGCCCACCCAGTGCTCGGCTGTTGACAACGAGTCCAGCTGCTATACCCTGGACTTCAATGGCACTGGATACTGCGAATGGAACTACAACGGGCTGGGCATCGACTACCAGATCCTGGCCGGACCCACTTTCATCCTCATCTTCACCATCGCGGGCGTCTTCATGGGCTTTGCAGCCGACAAGTACAATCGCGTTAAGATGCTGACCGTGTGTACGGTGATCTTTGGCGTAGCCATGATCCTGCAGGGCACCGTCAAGGAGTACTGGCAGCTGGTGCTCCTGCGAATGGTGATGGCCGCTGGTGAGTCTGGCTGCAATCCCCTCGCCACTGGAATCATGTCAGACATCTTCCCGGAGGACAAACGAGCCCTGGTCATGGCCATTTTCAATTGGGGTATCTACGGCGGCTACGGAATTGCCTTCCCCGTGGGACGATACATCACCAAGCTTAACTTCTGGAATCTAGGATGGCGCGTTTGCTATCTGGGCGCCGGAGTGCTCACGGTGATCATGGCTGCCCTGACAGGAACCACCTTGCGGGAGCCGGAGCGCAAGGCCATTGGCGAGGGCGACAGGCAGACAAGCGCAGGAAAACCGGTGAGCTTGTGGCAGGTGATTAAGAGCCCGGCGATGATAATGCTGATGATAGCCGCCTCCATTCGCCACTGCGGCGGCATGACCTTTGCCTACAACGCCGATCTCTATTACAATACCTATTTTCCCGATGTTGACCTGGGCTGGTGGCTGTTTGGCGTCACCATTGGCATTGGTAGCGTGGGTGTGGTCGTCGGCGGCATTGTCTCCGACAAGATTGTCGCCAAGATGGGCATTCGGTCACGCGCGTTTGTGTTGGCCATCAGCCAGCTTATCGCCACTCTGCCGGCCTTTGGATCGGTCTACTTTGATCCACTGTGGGCCATGATCACGCTAGGACTAAGCTACTTCTTCGCCGAGATGTGGTTTGGCATTGTGTTCGCCATTGTTGTGGAGATTGTCCCTCTTCGAGTGCGATCCTCGACCATTGGCGTCTTCCTGTTCGTGATGAACAACATTGGTGGCAACCTGCCCATCCTGGTGGATCCTGTGGCAAAGGTCCTCGGCTACCGCGGATCAATCATGATCTTCTACGCTGGATTCTACGGCATCAGTAAGTCTAAATTTTTACTTCTGAGTAGCAACTTTGCTAATGGCCGTCTGCCCCTTTAGGTTCCATTCTCTTCTTCATTACATGCTTCCTGCTGGAAGGCAAGTCGGTTGGGGCGGAAGAGCCGGAGTCGCCGAAGACCCATCCGGATGCAGTGCTCAACGCTCGCCACATGCACGGACACGATAATTCCGTTTTCTCTGTGGACGAGACCCTGCCCTCCAATGGACGACCTGCCCAATTGCCGCAGCACCTGCAGATGTCTAGCAACGGCTACGACAAGTCTCATATTTCTCCGGCTCGACAGAACGGCGCCGAGAGCAGCAGATTATAGATAAGCTTAAAGTACGGAGTGTTTTTTTTTTATTAAATACTATTATGGAATTTTTATTTCGTTTGAGGTTCTATGACACTTGCATTTTACTCGGATAACTAGTGGATTTACTATGAGTTTAAGATCAATGGATTAACTATCCAACTTCTTTAACAGATATATCCTGTTGGTCAGCCGAATTTTAGGCAGTGTCATAACACCTTTAAACTTAGTCCTAAGCGAGGAGTGTGGAGGGAATCAATGGAGCAGCATCCTTGCTCTAATGCCCTTACACAATTTTTTTTAGCGCGTTAACTGTGTACTTAAATCGGCTGGCGATGACAAGAGTACAATTTTAATAAAGTGCTGTTTTGTTAATACAGACCAATTTTATTTAACACTCGCGGAGCAATAAATGTACTTACAATGGCCATTTACGGGGTCGGCTGTTTCCGCATCTTTAAAGGCGAATGATAAACGTGCCATTGTCCGCTCTGGATTACCCTCCTTCATATTCTTTAGGTATGACCACGCCGAGCGGCCCTTCGAAATACCACCAGCCTTCAATTATCGATACCTATCGTAAAAGAAAAAAAATTCTCGAAATGTTATTATTTATTTATCATAGAACCCATTGCTTTTTAAATCGACTAGCAGTTGTGAAAAGTTAACGTGGAAGGCAGAAAGCGAAACGAAGTCACTTGTGCTCAGCAGTCTGTTCGAATAACAACTAACAAAATCTAAAACAAAAAAGCAAAGAGAATCAGCAGAATTTTGCGATATTCGCGACACACAACGATAGTTTTGGGCGAATTAACCACGGCGAATTTAATCCGTGTCGGTGTGAGCTCGTGCGTGTGCTGAAAGAGAGGAGCTCGGAACTGTATTAGTGCTCTCTTTCTCGCCGGTGATTAGTGTTCGCCGACACGGGAATTGTTTCGTCATTCCAGCCTCAACTTTTGAAGTGTTCGCATCATTGGCAATACATGGCCGAAGTGCAGGAAGGCGTCGCAGAAGAAAAGAAACAGCCAAAAAGGCACCACTTCGGTAAGTTAGCTATAACTTTACTATGCTATGCAGTTTAGTACCCTAAGCATTGTGTGTTCGAAAAACGGGAATTGCTGTACGGGCCAGTACAAATTGTCTTGCTCCCGAGTGTCTCGGTGTTCGTCGTGTTCATATAGGAAAGCTTTTACGGTGTGTGCGAGAGTGTGTCTGCATAAGTTTTCCGCAGAACTTATCGGGAAGAATTCATTCGCCCTAAACTTTTACATTCCGCGAATTATGTGATTGCAGGAAAGAAACATTTTGCCTATGGAAAGGTATTGTCCTTTTTCTGGATATATTTCTTGCGCGTACATCGATAGCCAGATTTACGTTATCGATAACTCAAGGGGACAAAAGGATGCTGCTATTTTCTTCCTTTCCTACGCAGCCATACATCCTCTTCCCGACCAATGGGAAGATCAAAACAATTAACATCTGGCATAACCCGATAAATGGAGTATTAACGCTTTTTGGAGTAATCGGATTTATGGCTTACTCGATAGGTAACCCTTTATATTGTAATAGTCTATTCATACTATTGTGATAGCTTATTAATACTATATGAGGTTACCTATTGAGTGAGTCAATGACTATCAAATCCTTTCAAAAAAGAGGATCACTCTTGGATCATCTGCTGAAAATCGAAAAATTGCGATTCTGTTTGGAGTGTCAAAGACTGAACTGATTGTCCGAGATTTATTTCCAGAACAACGGCTCTTGGTTATTTCTCTAGTGATGAACCGTCAACAATAGGCAACCCATATAAAAGAAAACAGAAAAATACCAACAACCCCACTATTGCCTATGAAAAACCAATGTAAAAATGAACTGAGTTAACCGAATACAGTAGAATCCGGTTATAGCGACATTCAATGCACCGGCGATTGTTCGTCGTTATACCCGAAAGACGCACTAACCAAAAGGAGCCAAACAAATTTTTTTTGTTTATTTAAAAACTAAAACTAACAGAGGAGTGAGAGTGTAAGAACCTTTTGTGTCGATCACTGATAAATACAGTAGAATCCGCTTATAGCGACTTCCAAGGGACCGACGAGTTTTCGTCGTTATACCCGGAAGACGCACTAAGCAGAAGGATTTAAATGTATAAGTCTGTCTGGGGACCAATCAAGCCAACGAGTTTTCGTCGCAATACCCGGACGGACACTATAAGCGGAGTCGTTATAACAGGATTCTACTGTACATAAATTTGGTGGCATTATTTCAGTGTATTTTTTTCGGCACGTCGCAATATCCGGTTGAATTGTGAAAAATTTCGTCGGTATGAGTGGTTTGTCGCCAAAAAAAACGTACTAAGCGGAGGTCCTTTCATATAAGTTTGTATGCCATCGAGTTTTCGTCACAAAACCCCGACGGACACTGTAAGCTGAGTCGTTATAACAGGATTCTACGGTATTTCCAAACCTAAATTAAACGACAAAATTTAGCAACGACCGGTCTAGCTTGTCAACTGGTCTAGAGATTCCATTAAATACTTTCTTGTGTTCATGCTTTATCACTGGCCTAATTCAGTTGACGGATATATCATAAAACCAGCTGTTCTATATGGCAAAATACCAAAAAAAAAGATGCCTGCCAGTATAAGTGGCAATGAAAAAACGTTTCAAAATTGTTAAAAGTTTGGAAATGGTGAAGTAAAAATCTGATTTTGAGCTTGGAAAACATATGCAATAAACACATACAATAATGCACACAACGCAAAAGTTATGCGGACAATGCATAAATTCGTTTAAAAAGATGACACGAGGATTGGAGCAGTAAGGAGCGCGACCGTTTACACGCAATGTAAATGGAATATTTATTTCAGCTCGATGAACCAATATTAAATTCTGCTTAGAACAAAGCAAAATTAAAACAAAAAAAGGAATAAGAAGGCTAATACATTGTGTTAGATAAAAAAAAAACAAATTAATTTTTTAATTTTCTAACACATTTATTCGTAATTATGTGTGTACAAATCGACGTCTGTAATTTTGTGGGTATAGTAGTCGTGAGTTTCGCAACATACGTCAGTACTTCGAGTCTTTCGAGCCAAGCAAAAAGGATTGTAAGTGGGTTTCGTAATGCAGTGAAAAGCAACCCACTGGTGGGTTGCGGGTAGATTTTGGGTGGGTTCTAATTGTCGTATAGATCTTGCAATCTTTCGTGTAGATGGGTCGCGGTCCCGACAAAATTTGGAAACACTGTTCTAGATACATATACGTATTACTGGTCAGAGCGATCAGACCAGACAATATATTTTTAATAATGTTTATTTTTGTCGTTGGATTTCTTTTATATTTGATCTAGCAAGTCTTTCCATAATAGAGACGTACGATGTCCAGATACACACATAAGTTTGACTGACCAAAGCCTTTGTTTAGTATGTCTCGAACTGCGTTAGAAATCACAGTTTAAGTGGCAAAATGTCAATGAAGAAAATCTATATTTTGATTTGCGTTTCTGATCGCAGATCTCTTTTTTTTTTTGTTTATTTGTAAAGGCAGCAACAGAAACATTGAAAATATCGATCGCCCAACGACACTAACACACCGACAGTTGACCATCGCAAGACGCACACTTTCGCATCTTGCGGCGAATTCACTTGGCCATAGTTCTGTGCAGTAATAGTCTCCGAAGTGCTCAGTTTGGGGAGTGTTTTGTTGGGTTCGTTGTTCTTTGTTTTTTTTTTTTTTTTTTTTTTTGCTTAAGTGAATCTTGGAGCATGTGCTCGTGAATAGAGATGAACAATGAGCGCCAATCGCACTACCGATAGCCTGATTTGCGAAAACTCAGCCCCTCTTAACTCTTAACGCTATATTTGCTAATTGTTTACTAGTGTGGTTCACGGTAAAAACGGCGTAAAAGAAAAATTCAGCTAGTGATGTGCCGATTAATGCAGTCGTATGGTATCGGATTATTGCAAATACGGTTACGCGGGTTCGAATTCGTAGTACCAAGCGCATCTTTATATTTTTTTTTTTTCAAAAAACACTGCTTTAATTTCACTTTCCGCCAACGGATTTCGAAGTTTAACAAAAAAAAACGCAACCTTTGCGTATTTCATATTATTTTGTGCTGTTTTTGGCGTGGACCGCAAAACTTAACAATTGCCCTATATTTAATCGGTAACACGATTAAGCGCGCTATGTAAATAACATTGTAACCTAACGACGAATGGTCCAAATTTTGTATGTATAAAAAAAATTAATTAAAAGCGATATGTTTATCCGTAACACATTAGAAAATATCGATTGTTATCGCAACCACCGCGTTCGGATTCGGCGCCACAGTTGTTGTTGTCATTCATTTTGACGACGCCGCGAACTTTACATGTGTGCTGCATTTAATTGAACTGTTTTATTAGTTAGGAAACAATGAGTAGTTTCCAGAAATAAAAATGGCATGCTAATATGTGCCACTTGGTGAGTGATGTGTTCTGCAGTGCTACAGGGCTCAACACAAATCGGCATTTACCCCTTATAATAACCCCAAATATTAGCAATGTTGCATATCTGGAGGAACTCTTGTAATAATCCAAACCCCCCACAGAGGAGTCAAATCCGGATCGTGCTAGCAGTGCCTGCAGAAGGATGGACGGAAGCGATGACGATGTGGTGGTGGTGAACTGCAAGTCCAAGGATGAGCGTCTGAAGGAGATACGCTCGTTTGTGCCCTTCATCAAGCGTGTGCAGATGAGCTACCAGCACAATCTTTCCAAGGTTCAGGCTAACCGACTTAAGGCACTTATAATTCTGCTGGATCGCGAGTAAGTCAAATGGACCCAGAAACCGACTACCCAGCCTGGTTATATCCAACATATGTCGTTCAATCTCCTGTTTCAGAATTGTATCCGAGAGCACGCAAGATAAAATTGAGCGTGTCATCGAGAAGCTAAAGACGAAGTTCGCGCCGGTAAGTCGAAAGTCTTGTGTGTTTTAGGATTATGGTCATTCATCTCGTAATCGTAGCTCTTGGATATCGAATCGAAGGACACGGAAGTCATCGAAATCAGCGACCATGAGCACAGAAGCGAAACCGGCTCGCCGAGCTCGTCCTGTCACTCGAGCTATTCCGTACAGCCGCCTGCCCAGAAGTCAGGAAAAGGAGAGGGTTCCAAGTCGAGCGGCTCTCTCCCCAGCTCATCAATGGCCGCCAAGCAAATGTCTACGCCACCAGAAGTACGGGAGCCGGGGCCCAGTAACACCGGCCCCACATCCTTGACCAATACTTTAGGCTCCTCGGCCAGCACAAAGACGCCTAACACCAAGCCATCCGATGAGCGGCGTAGGTCTGAATCGGAACCACCTGCCACAAGTGAAGTTCATGATGTAAATGTTGCAGCCATTTCACAGCCGAAATTCAAAAGGAAAGCTGAAACGGGGCCCAATATCCCGGCCAATCGCGGAGTGTTGGCTGCGATGCAAGAGGCGCGCATTGAGGAGAAGAAGCAGCGGGCCAACGCCCAGCAAACAATTTCACCGCCATCAACCAAAGATTCAGGTGGAGCAGTTCCGCCGGAGGCCAACTTCTCACGCCGAACCTATACACCCAGTCCTGTGGAAGCTGCTACATCGCCGCCGTTTTCACGTCGTTTGCCGGCGCAGCCGGAGACCGTAGACTCGCTGAATTTTGTGCGCAGAAGCTCGCCGCTCGTTGTAGCCGCTCCCTTGTTGGAGGTCTGCCAAAGTCATGCCGAAAAAGATGCCGGCAGCCCTTTGTTGCCAATGGCTTCACCGACTCAGGGTCCCGCAAATACGCTGGAGGAAGCTCGCAAGAAGCTGGCCGCCATGAGCGGAGGGACAGGTCAGGATACGCCGCCACTTGCTTCCAACATCAACGATCCGCGAGGAAAAAAGAAATCAAGCTTGCCCAAGCCCGTTGTTAATAATAACAACAATAACATCAGCTTGGCACCAGTGACGCCACCACCCGCTGTTCGCTCACCCTCGGCCACTGTTCGATCGCCCTCGGCCACTATTCGATCGCCCTCGGTCAGTATTCGATCGCCTTCGGTCACTATTCGATCGCCCTCGCCGACAATTCGTTCACCCTCGCCCATTCCGCCACCCCCGAGTATGAAGACTGGTACTTGGGCCCCATTTTCAAACATCCCCATGGAAACCGGCGGAGGTTTTAATGCTCAGCGTGCTCCTCTGCAGCACAACTTGGATCTGCCGGGAGATTCTCGATCCTATGACGCTAGTCACGATCCCAGACGCTTTAATAGCAATGAGTCTCGAGAACCGCGCGATCCTCGCATCTGGCCGAACAAGTCCGCACATTCGCGTCAGCAACGACAACAGCAAAAGCAGTTACCGCAACAGACTCAGATGCCGCCGTATTCCAGTGACCCGCGTCGTGCTCAAAGCATCTACCATGGTTACAAAGAGGCTGCCAATAGCAGGCAACCGTCAAATAATATTAACCAGAATGAAACAGTATCAAGAAATGCCTTCAGCAAGTTCACCTGGACAAGGACTCAAAACAATAATGGTCATAATGCCCGAGGCGGGTTCGCGGGTGGCACTCAGAAAGGTAGAGGAGGAATTTCAGGTGAATTCAATGGCTCGTCTAGCTTCAGAGGTGGATATGGTGGTGCTCCCAACATGCGGGGAGGTGGCACCCAGGGTTCCCGCTACGAGCGACCCAACGACGTGCCTCGCACGTACGGGGAGCACCGCAAGGCGAAGGCTGAGGCGGAGGTCAAAGCCAAAGAGGCGGAGACGAGGCGCAGATTGGAGGCGGAAATTCTGCGTCATCTGAATGCCGAGGATAGGCAGCGTAACCAGCTGCTGGCAGCTGAGAAGCAGCGAAAGCCGGAGGAAAGTACGGCCGCGGCACAAGCGTCGGTTACATCTGTGCCGGAATTGGACACCTCTTACCGCAACTGCGCTCTCAGTCCGTTGACCAAAAAGTTAGACTTTAGGATACCGAAGAAAACACCCCCGGCAGCAGCAGCAGCAGCAGCAGCACCCACAACACCCACGGCACCTAACCAAGTAAACGAGGATGTGGACAGCCTGGGATGTTCCTTAAACTTACCCCCAAGCAAATCCTGTGATGCCAAAAAGGATACAGATACGATTAAGAATACCGATAAACACTTAGATAAGGCTGGCAATAAGGACAAGGTGGAGAAGGGCAATGATAAGACGGAAAGCAGTGTAGACAAGTCCAATAAGCATCACAAAATGCAGGATAAGAAGAACAAACCCGGAAAGAAGGAAAAGAAGAGACTGGAAAAGGGAAACGAGCAGAAATCGGGAGCAGTTGAAAAGAGTCGTGAACCTTTGGACACGGAAAGCGTTATCAGCATCGGCAGCACGGAAAATACTGACAACCTGGAGAATGAACCTCCTGTTAGCGAGTCGAACTCTTCTCCCGTTCCAGAGTTAGTTTCGGGGACCACCGATAGTCAGCAAGCCCAGGCGCCAGCCGCTAAAGAGGTAGCGAGGAAACGCGGGACTCCCACGTCCGAGACCAATGAAGAAATTGGCTCAGGGAAGCCAGAAAACGTCAGCAAAGAAACGGAGCAAAACGATGAGGTTGAAAGCGATAAGGTCGTTGACGATGGAAAGCCTCCCACGCTGCCGAAAATGAAAATTGTTCTTGGTCGCAATGCCCACACTTTGATGGTGCGCAAGGATGAAGGCGCCCTGGAGAAGGAGCCAAAGGTAACGAAGCACAAGCTTGATATATTTAATGTGGCCCCACACGACGACGAGGAGGTGCCCGGACCGCCGCCTCACGTTCTGCATCGAATCATGCAGCGGCGTAACTCAATGGCTCCTACGGCCAGTAGGCCTTTGGTCGACAAAGCGGAGATCTCTACCAGTCTTCTGTACGAGGATCTGCAGGAGCAAAAGCGCAGGGCTCAGCAAGCCCGCAGTCTGGCACATATTTTTGAGAAAACCAGCGACAATTGCACTGTGTCTACGCAAAATATTATCACCGGCAAACGTCGCACTCGCGGACTGGAAGCCTCATTCAACGAGACGCAACTCAGCAGGAACTCTTTCGGTTTGGGCCAAATAAACCGATCGAAGCCAAGGAACTCTAAAGCCAAAACTCCTGCTACGAACGCCACGAGGCCTGCAGATGATTCTGTTACCGATGAAGCCATCGTCGTCCCCGCTCCCGGCCCAGGTCGTAAGCGCAGGAGGCAAACCATTTCCGTGGAAACACCGGACTCGCAGGTGCAGGCCAAGAAGGCTCGTGTCGAAAGTGGAGAAAATAAGGATAAAGTTAAGTCGGAAAAAAGCGTGGATGAGAATCCCTCTGATTCCGCTCCGATTTCCGTGATCCAGGCACCGCCCAAACCTCGCGCGAAACCGCGGAAAAAGCGCAATGAGCTGGACAAGCTTAACGAGGACATTGCGCAGATGTACTACGGCGAGGATGTGCTTCGGGCCACAGGACGGCGAGCCTGCACCCGGCGTTCCCGCACTCCCACGAAGCCGGGGTCCTCTGGCAAGCGCTCCCGCACTCCGTCGCCCAACCTTACTGCTGGCGACAGTATCTCCGGCGTCAGCCTTAGTCCTACTTTCATCCGAAACGTGGCGCGAAGAGGGAAACCGTTTACTCCCTCCGCCAGCGGCATCAATCGGTCCTGGGTAAAAGCAAAGGAGGAGAAGGCTTCGTCGCTAGCAACCAAGCACTGCCGGGTGAGGATAAGGAGATGCGCGCCCTTGGAAATGCTTATTAGGAAGCAGAAGGAGCAAAAGAGGCCTCAACCGAAAAAGGGCAACGCGAAGAAGACCGTTCGCAACATAAACCCCGAGTGGCACTCCACCTCGAAGGCTGTCATCAAGTGCGTCGTTTGCACGAAGCCGATCCGCCGGAGTCCGCTCTGTCACTACATGATGTTCCACGAGGAGCACTACGCCGCCCGTCTGCCGCCCGGCGTGCTCGACGAGCTACGAGCCGGTCGCGGCTGTCGTCCGGACTATTGGTTCTCTCAGCGCGGCATCCACACGTTCCACTACACGTGTCCGTTCTGCCAGAAGCCCCTGCTCCTCAGCCAGCTGGCCCTGGGCGAGCACCTGTCCTCCCACATGGGCGAGCCGCGCTACGAGTGCTCCCACTGCCATTATCCGCAGCACCGGATGGTAAGAATGCAGTCGCACGTTGCCGCCTGCGGACCGGGCGCCGAGCTTCTGAGCCATCCCAACAACGGTCGTATGCCGATCACGGTGCTGGTGTGCCATCTGTGCGAGTTTGTGCAGCAGAACCAGTCGAACATGCACCGGCATATGGTGGAGCAGCACGGCCTGACGGAAAAGGAGCTGGTCGAGGTCGAGCCGGAGAGGGTGGTGATCTGCAACACGACGGACGTGCCCCAAGAAGATTCCAACAAGGATTGCAAGGCCCTCGGGCGAGGAAAGCAGAATAGCCCCGCCAAGTCAGGTGCAAGTGCAGGCGCCAGGGGTCCCAGCCCCACCACCACGCCGCTTCCTCCGCCGGAAATAGAGCCCATTCTCGTAGTCAACGAGTGTCTGTTGTCCGACGTGGAGATGAACACAGAGCCGGCGGAAGTTGGCGACGAAGAACAGGCCTTGCAAAACGGGAGCATGATTGTGGACGAGAAACCTGTCATGCCGATCCGCGTGGATATCGTCGCAGATGTGGCGGAACCGGAGCCAACCGTACCACAAAACGAAGAAGATGAGGATGTAGACGTGGAGGCAGTGTCTCCGCCGCAGTCGCAACCTGTGCAGCCAACTACCCAGTTGGCCCAGGAGATTAGCCTGGCCGTGTTGGATGGGGACCTTCTCGATGGCATTGGCAGCGATGGTTCCGACGCTGAAATGGAAGACGAAGCACAAAGCCAAGCTGCGAAGGATTCGGTGGCGGTTGAGGCGGCAGTGAATGGCGATAGCGAGGGTGAAAACGTCGAGGAAGACGGTTTTTCTGATGATGCCAACGGTTACACTGATGATGACGACGACGCACTCACTGACGAGTGGGTGGATCTGGAGACGGCCCAGCGAAATTCCAAGCGCTCCAAGAGCATCTTCCACGTGTTTAGTCGGTTCTGCTCCCGCTTGCACAAGGGATCCCGACCTGGCAAACAAGTGGCCTCCAATACGAGCCAGAGCAGTGACGAAGGCAACGACGGGCCGGATCCCAGCGAGCTGATGCCCCGCATGCGGCCTCTAGAGCCTGAGCAGCCGGCGATGGAAAAGGGTCACTTTGGCCCTGATCCTGCTCCTGCAGCGGCTTCTTTAGTCCCCTCGCGTCCCAAGGCACCGCCTAAACGGGTGGAGAACGTCGCTTTTCGAAAGGCATCTTTGGATGGAGAGCTAAATAGTCAGGCTTCCTATTACTGCGTGCAGCCGGGCTGCACTTTCCTCTTTTCAAACGAACTGGAAGGCCTCGAGAATCACCTTGCGATAGACCACCCGCAGGTTCGCTGGAGCGGCAAATGCGCGCTCTGTCCGGGACTTAAAGCGATAAGCACGACGATGGGCAGCATATCGGAGGAATTGCGCCACATGAGAGACGAACACATGTTGGACAACCCCGCTCTGCCTCCACAACTGCCGGCGGGGGAAGTGCCCGGAATTGTTTTTCCGGAACCTCAACTAGAACCTCAACCAGAACCTCAACCAGAACCTCAACCAGAACCTCAACCAGAACTTCAACCAGAACGTCAACCAGAACCTCAACCAGAAGTTCAACCAGAACCTGAGCCTGCTCCCGCGCCCGTGCTTCCCAAGCTGCGGGTTCGTCGCTTCACTGGCGATCGTCTGGCAGAGCCGCCAGCTGAGCAGAGTACACCGGCAGCACAAGTGCCTCCCGCGGAAGAGCAGTTCAATACGCTGCTGAGGGAGATGCTGACAGCGGAGCCACGGCCGCCTACCCAGCAGGTGGACTTCCAAGCCGCCGGGTTGGGCGAATTTCTTTGTGCCAAGCCCAATTCTCCTCCAAAGGAGTCGGCTGTCGGGCAGCCCGTGATAATAAACTACCAGAGTGGCTTGGGGCTGTCCATCAGCCAGGTCTACAGTGCTGCACTGACTCCAGTGCCGGTGCCATCAGAGGTCGAAGAAGCTTCGCAGCCTCAACTGCCGACTGCTCCTGCGAACCAGGAGGAGGGCCGCAACCGCTTTCGCTGCATGGCCCCCAACTGCCTCTTTTCTGCTCACAAGGTCATGTTCGTTCGGGAGCACATGAAGTTCCACAGCTTCGGCTTCTCCAACTCCGAATACCTGTCTTGTGCCTACTGCTCCCACGTGGCCGTCGACGTTGAAGACTACCTGCACCACGGAGTCTTCATCCACGACTTGGCACCGCGATCCGATCTGGAGACCGCAACCGAGCCGCCCTCCGTTACCCAGCAAATTCGGGACATGCTCAATCAGCGAGGCACTGCGGTAAACAACCGCCTTCCAACTGAGAGCCTGGCTGACCAGCAGCCCGTGGGCAATGTGGCTGCAGCACCAGCATCGGAAAGTGGGATGGCAGCCGCTTCAAATAGTCAGGTTTCCGTGTCTGCAGTTATCACGGAGCTGCTCGGACCCACGGGATACAGTGGTAAGTAAACTGCACATTTACATTTTGCGAGTTATGGAATTAACCCCTTCTTTAGAGGACAAGCTGTACGCCTGCCCCCAAAAGGGCTGCATTGTGCGACTCACGGATGAGCAGTTTGTGAACCATCTGCGCTACCACATCCGCAGCACCCTCAAGCGGGACAGCGATCAGGTGAAGTGCAAATACTGCCACCGTTGGATGCTTCCGCCGGCACTGCGGACCCACCTGCAGCAGGCCCACGCCCGCCACACCATCTTCTGCGGCCTGTGCTTGGCCACAGCGGTCAACAAGCGCCTCATACTGTACCATATGAGCACCGTGCACCGCGAGGAGTTCGAGGCGGTCAACCGGCAGCTGCAGTTACTACAGCTGCGGCTGAAGCCCGACGCCTCGGAGAGGCTTCAGCTGCTTCCGAAGACGGAGAAGGCGTGCTCTGTGGCGACAGTCAAGCAGACGTTTGGCGCGCAGGACATGCATGAGTTCCAGCGGAAGCTTTTCGAGGAGCTCGAACTGCGACGTCAGGGCAAAAAGAAGTTCTTCCGATGGTCCGAGGTTCTCCTTCTGCCCCGCGAGCCCGCCTTTCAACAGGCCCTTCACTGTGCGGAGTGCCCCTTCACCTCCACGGTGCGCAACACCCTGCGGATGCATCTCTGCCAGCATGGGGAGTACGATATTCGCAAGGCCTACGAAATGGAGGAGTCCCCTACAGTGCCAGCAGGACAGGAAGCAGCAGGCTCCGCAGACTCGGCAACTGAGAATCAGCGGGATTCCGGGAAGGCAAGTGCTTCCAATCAGGGTTCCCAGTCGCAGACACAGCAACCGGATCCCCTGGAGCCGGGTCAGCACGTGCCCCACCCACCGCCGTTTAAATATGTGCCCTCGAAAGATCGCTACCGCTGCGCCTTCGTGAGATGCGGCCTGCTGCTTTCATCGCAGTCAACGCTGCGCCAGCATATGAACGCGGAGCACAAATACTCGGATACCGTTAGCTGCCCGCACTGCAAGCAACGGTCTTGGAGCCAGGCTGGCGTAGAGAAGTATCTGACCCATTTGCTGACGCACAAACGGCACACCTTTGAGTGCGGCGGCGGCTGCCTCTTGCACCAGAGTAAGCGCAGCGACATTGAGCGTCATATCATCGACCGTCACTGGCAACAAAATGTGGACGTGGTGGTACATCGCCATGATGACACCGATGGGTCAACAGCCGCCCGCTGGCTGAAGACGCGTAAGTGTGGGATACTTAAATTTTTCCGTCGCACAGCCGTCTCATGTGTATCTCCTTTCCTTCTATGTAGCCAAGCTGACGCGCCACGTCAATATCAAGTTCACTTGCAACATCTGCCTCCAGTGCTTCCCGACTGAAAATGAAATGATACACCATACGACTGCTTCTCACGGACGGGTCTTCCATTACTACTGTCCTTACTGTCCCTTTGGCGCCCCGGAAGCTACTGTGATCATCGATCACATCTTGGCCGCGCATCCGGGCCTACGCGTGCAGCCGTTTCAGGTGTTCTCGCGCAAGAGCAAGCAAACCATCGGCTTCTACTGTTGCGTGTGCAACTTTTCGGCCAACAACCCAAATGGGATCATGGCACACTGCGAAAAAAACCATAATACGCGCTTCCAGTGGCAATGTCCCCACTGTGCCTTTGGGCACTTTGCAGAGCGGAACGTGAAGAAGCACATTCAGGAAACGCATCCGCAGCTAAACGGGCTGGCGGGGATGATGTATGACCGCGTGGCCAACGAAATGCCCGACAACATCAGTTGGGAAGTGGGCCAACCTATAGAAGATGAGCCTGTGGCAGAGGAGCAGGAGCATCAGCAGCAGGGCGAGCAGCAACGGGATCAGCAGCCTAAACAGGGCCATCCACCAGCAGAGCAGTTAACGGAGGTGGTGGACCTGCTATGCTCGGACGACGAGTCGCAAGACCCCGGTGTAGCTCAAGTTGATCCGGTAAGTAGAGCAGCAGTGAGTGCAATGCCCCGATTACGGACTTGCTCATTATCATCATTATTCATCCGCAGAAAATCATGGAATTCGCTTGCACGCACTGCGACATGACGTTCAGCAACTTGGAGGACCTGCGCACCCAGCACTGGGCACTCAACCATCCGGACCAGCCATTTTACTTCCGCGTTCAGCCCCAGCTCCTCTGTTCAATCTGCAAGAAATTTAGAGGCAATGCGAAGGCGTTGCGCGACGAGCACCTGTTCAAGGTGCACACGATCCGAAACGTTATAGCCGCGGACGTTCGGCAGCCAGGGGAGTGTGCCTATTGCGACTACCGATACACCGGCTGGGCTGATCTGGCGCTCCACATCAGTGGAATGGGCCACATGCCCAACGACCTTAAGTACGTGACGGATGCAGAACTAAACTCCCTGCAGGAGCTGAGTGCCTGCAGAAACGGCGGGGCCAAAACCGAGTACTACCAGTGCGATCTGTGCACCGTGCTCATGCCCACGAAGGTGGCGATTGCCCAGCACGGCCGCGTGGAGCACAACAAGCCCGGCGAGCGCTTTTGCTTTCGGCAGCTGACAGTGCCCGTCATCTACCACTGCTTTTACTGCATGTTCACCTCGTCCGACGAGCTGACCACGCTGCGGCATATGTTGGACCACTACACCCGCTTCCTGACCTGCCAGTTTTGCCAACGCCACCAGCCGGGAGGCTTCGACGAGTACATCCAGCACTGCTACACCTTTCACCGTCACGACGTGCACCGCTTTCGTGATGTGCACACGTACAGCGACCTGAGGAAGTTTCTCATGCAGGTGCACTACCAGTTCCAGAACGGTCTGCTCGTCACGAAGAGCAGCCTGCGCTACACACGGTTCAAAGATGAATCATTGATGATCAAGTTGGACGAGGAGCTGATGGCCAAGGCCCAGCGCCCGCCAATCCCCCGGCTGCACATCAGACTCAAGTCGACGGGTGTGCAGGGGCGCAATGTGGTGGAGGCTCAGGTCCAGGAAACTCCTACGTTGGTGCGGATCGCTAAGCGGCGCAAGACACTGAATCCGGACGAGCTGCTCCGCATATCCAGGCAGGAGGAGCGAATGCAACAGCAGGAATCGCCTCAAGCCAATAAAATAATCAGAGTGGCCAACTGGGCCTCTGCGCTTGACGACACCCCCTCAACTTCGGCTGCTCCTGGCACCTCGAGTTATTTTGCGGTAGCAGCTTCGCACAACCTGCACCGCCTCCAAAAACGGCGCAATAGCTCTGCGGTCCGCCCCGGACCCCAAAGCTACGACTAGGACTAAAACCACACCATTATTACCAATACATTTAATGCCATTGCATCCGATTGCAGTCAAGGTTAAATTACTCGTTTAGTGTATTTGTGCTAGTTCCAAACTATTTAAGCATTGAAAAACTTTTTTTTTTACTCAATTATGATACTATGTTTACTACATTTGTAAGACCAGAAGGAGCAAAGAGCATAAAAAGTAAAGCGCACTAGTAAGGGAGTAAGAGGAGGAGACAAATTTGGAAACTATGAAATTACGTCGGCATAGATTGATTAAACTAAACTATCGTTTTAGAAGTGCTCAAAAAAAAAGAGTTGTTACTTTTTTAGCAGGCACCATTGTGCAGGTACTGAAAGACGGGCACCGATTGTCCCTGACCCCGACTTCTGAGAACGCTGGCGCAGCGCACTTGGTTGTGGAACTCGCAGGGCGTAGCGAAAGTCACCTGCCGGCCATTGCGTAGGACGCAGACGGGACGATAGTACCGCGGGCAACTGTACTCGCAGCTCTCCTCGTCTTCGTCCAAATTGGAGGCATTAGCTTGGGCAAGTAGATCGTCATCATCCTCCTCATCTTCATCTTGATCTTGATCGTCATCATCATCAGCGTCCAAATTATCGTCATTATTCAGCACTCTGGAGTACTGATAGCCACCGGAATCCCCATTACCGTGATTATCCCGCCAGCTCCACTCCACAGTGGTGTGCTCTGTTTGCACCTGCACTGCTGCGCACTGATGGACTAGGGCCACAAGCAGGACCACAAAGATGCCGCGCATGTTACTTCCGTTTACAGTGCTTGACTGTATTCCCGGCGCCCCGTAGCCCAGCTACTTAAATAGACAATTGTGTCACCAATTCCCAGCGACGACAGTTGTTCAAATAGTTTCCGCACTTCGGGTGTTTTTTTTGATGTGACGCCACATATCACAATTGATAGAGCTGCCAAATAATTTAAATATTCAAAGTGAATGAAGGCCACCAGCAGTTAGGTGGTTTACTGTCGTTTCGAAGTGGAAGTCAATGCCTAGTTGGGTCTCATAAGAAACAGATATTGGGACTGTAATAGTCGGACTATTTAATGTGCCGTACTCGTTTATATAAACTATTTGCTCTGCGTGTACTATTTAAAGTCGGTATCTATATATCGTCCATGTAGCCATGTTCGTAGGCGTGGCGCACAGCCTTGAAGACCTCCTCGTTGGCCACGTCACCGCCAATATCCAAAGATAGTCGATAAAAGGCCTGACCATGCATGTCTGTATCGAAGAGCCGGGTCAACTCGGCGCAATCGGTTTCGTTGCCGAGAATACAAGGCATGAAATGCATGACGACCATAACCCCGTAAAAGGCGTATCGCTTAAAGTGCGACTCGAAGCGTTCAAAGCTGTGGGTACAATCGAGATTCAAGTCATAGTTACTGAGGAAAAATTATAGAAAACCTACCTGTAATCCGCCAGGAGCTGTTCCACCCGCTCGTCGCTCAGCTTATCCCGGTTGGCATGTAGCAGCTGCTCCAGCATTTCGATCATGTGCTTGTGGTACCTGTTGAGCAGATCCGCGAAGATCTCCTCCCTTCCTTCGGAGGGCGTGTTCATGTACATAAAGAAGCTTAGGTCAATGGCCGTTGTGCTGAGGCGCAGCTCCTGGAAATCTATGGTCTTGATGCCATCCACCTGGCCGTTGTCGCTGTGGTGGAAGAGCACGTTGTTGCGATTGTAGTCGCCATGCAGGAGCGTGACAAAATGGTTATCCGGCTGGTCTTCCGATAAGGATGTGGTGCGAATCCTCTCGAGCAAATGCGTGGGATTAGCGAAGTACTTTACGCGCAGCCGCTCAATAGCGGCGGCGAAGCCAGCATCGGAATCCCCCAGGAGCTGCTCTTTTCGCCGATCGTAAAATTCGTAGAAGCGATCGAACGCTACTCGGTAGCTCACATCAAATCCGGCCTTGCCCGAGCTCGAGACAAACGACATGTCCACCACGCCCGATTTAAGACGGGCATAAACCTCCGGTTGCAGTATCCGTGTGGCATAGCCGATAGCATGGAAAGGACCCACCAGTCCCACCATGGCCTCTAGTTGATCTCGCCGGAGGGTTAAACGGGGACCTAACTGATACCCATCGCCCTTGAGATGCTTCAGTGCCAGCACAGATTCCTGACCCCCACCCAAGCCTGCGGGTGTAATTAAGGATTAGATTCATCAGTGTACTCCACCACTTGTACGCACCGTCAACCTTCCCGAACTTGGCAAAGTAGCAGCGCGGCACCCAGTTGGCCACCATTTCGCTGGACAGGTTACTCATCCGCAGCAGGTTCTCGTAGGCGGGCAGGATCTCGGCGTAGGCGAAGACCTCGTTACGGAACTGGATGTACGAGTTGCTCTGCTCGCGGAACTCCTCGGTTCCCTTCATAAACTTAACCAGGACGACCTCCGTACGTTTGCGATCGCCGATCGTGAGATCCAAATGCACGGTAAAAAGGGCGGACATAAATCCGTCCAGCCCATTGGCAGATTCCACTCGGTGGCCCTTCAGGGACACGCCCGGTCCAAAGAACTTTAAAAGTTCTTGCAACAAGTGGCGTTCAATGTAGTCCAACTGTTCCTGCTGCGTTGACATGTTGTTGATCTAGCAAATGAAGGGTTGCAATTGCGTTTCATTGTCGCTTTCCAATGCCGCTCGTCGACCTCCCCCCATCCCAAGACACACCCACGAAGTGTAACTATCCCACTCACCAACCAGTTGCTGTGATTAATATGATCTCAGCGAGGCTGTTTGGAGGTCTTATATAGTGGGACGTCAATATAACACCACCCCCACCCATCGTGGGGTGGCAGGCAAAGGTGATCTTGGTGAAATTAATCAAGAGACACGTAAGCCAACTGCCTCGAAAATCCACAGGAACAATTAAAGGCTTTGGGTCTGTGATTTGAATTTCTGGCCAAGCACAGCTGATATGCGTGACTATCAAACCATCGACTACTGATCCGACAGGGCTGCAAAATTGAAAAAGCAGCAATTCGATTATTGGTTTACTCGTTATATTGTTATATCATAGAAACTACATCAATAAAAAACAATGTGGGGTTTTGACCACTTTTCTGCCATTCTACTTTTCACAAAAATACATAAAATAGAACATAATAATATCAAGACACTCAAAAAATAAACAAAAAAATTGAATTCTGAATTGGTTGCATACTGTTGCTTGACGTGACTTACGACCGTGAATCGTGATCGTTCCAGTGACCGATAGCCGGCTCGCCGAGGTTGTCCAGCCCTGGTGTGCGCATAATAAACAGAAGTTTTTGTGGCTCGACTTGCTGAATTGTTTTTTATTGTTACTCTGTTTTTATTTAAATGGGTAAGTGGATCGTGTTGCCGTAAGCTTTAAAACCCTGGATAAAACAAGCCCGTCAACTTTTAGATTTTGTTTTATTAAAAATGTTAAATTACAAAAAAATTTATCACAATTAGAATTATTTTCGTTTCATCCTTTTTCGCTGTTGTTGTAGTGCTGATTTTGTTTATAGAAAAGTGTTTAGGTTTAATGAATATTACAATAGCTCATATGCGCCGCAAACCCTCGGGGATGACACGATTTGCCTAGAACTTAAAGTCGTTTGAGTTTCGGTGCGCATGTCGTCGCTTGCCTGGAGGGAAAATGCCGGGGAGTCATCAGAATATATCCGTATAAGGAGTGGGATTTTCACTTACGACCGTTGCAGTGGCGACCGTAGAAACCCGGATGGCACTTGCAGTGCTTGTGGGAGAGGCAAGTTCCATTGCGGCACTTGCAGATGGAGCGCTGCTTGCGCCCGATCTCGCAGTGGTCTCCCCGTAAGCCATTGGGGCAACGACACAGGTTGTTCCCGATGCACCGTCCCTCGTTCTTGCAGGGGATGACGCACTTGGCTGTGGGGAAGAGCGCGGTCAGCGCTTTTTAGTTCCTGAACAAACGCTGGCCTACTTGCTACTCACAATATTCACAGCGTAGGCCGTAGTAACCCTTGGAGCACTGGCACTTGTCCTTCTGTATGCACTTGCCCCCGTTCAAGCACTTGTCCTTGCAAATACCTTTGAAGCATAGGAAGATTAGTGTGTACTCGTCTCTTATCTGCTTCTGCTTGCTACTTAATTTGGCTTCGACACTGTTCTTCCCGCCCGAGTTTCCCAAGTCACAACTAACCGTACCCCTTCTACTTTACAGCCGGAATGCTGAAAGGAGTCCTCTGCAGAACAGAGCCCCGTCTCCTCTCCATGCGCTGCCTCAGCTCAACAGGAGGAGGGTCATCCACAAGCGAAGGAGGCAGCCCAGCAGCTCATCAACTGCGTCCACGTCCAAATGCCCTCACAGACGAGATCATACGCGTCGATCATGCCGGTGAATTGGGCGCAGACCGCATCTACGCCGGTCAGATGGCCATTCTCGGCAACGGACCGCTTGGCAAGACTATCGGACACATGTGGGAGCAGGAGAAGAACCACCGCAAGCAGTTCGAGCAGCTCATTCAGCAGCATCGCGTGCGGCCGACGATCATGACGCCGCTGTGGAACGTGGCCGGGTTTGTGCTGGGCGCCGGAACCGCTTTGATGGGCGAAAAGGCGGCGATGGCTTGCACGGTGGCCGTGGAAACGGTTATAGTGGAGCACTACAATGACCAACTACGCCAAATTATGGAGGCCCCGAACCCGGACAAAGTATGAAGCTCAGTGCTTAGCCACCTTGTACATTTACTACGAGTGTGTAATGATTTTGCAGGAGCTGCTGGCGACGATCACCAAATTCCGGGACGAGGAACAGGAGCACCACGACACGGGCATCGACCATGGGGCCGAGCAGGCGCCCTTTTACCAGGCAATGACCGAGGTGATCAAGTTCGGTTGCAAGACCGCGATTGCAATTTCGAAGAAGATCTGAGCGGACTGGACAGTAGTGCCCCCTGTATATATATGTCTAAATTACCTGTTCCCGCTCAACGTGTTAAGCATACAAAAATATAGCGAAATATTGAAGAAGAGATGTGCGTACTCACCACCTTCGCACTGGGTGCCCTGGTAGCCCTCCGGACAGGTGCAGACGGACGGAGCCGTGCAGTTGCCGCCGTTGAGGCACTGCGGGAAGCAGAAGGCCGTCTCGCAGTATTGGCCCGTGTAGCCCACGTTGCACTTGCAGATGTGATGCTCGTTGCAGTAGCCGTTCTTGCCGCACTTCAAGCTGCATTCTGGATCGGGAGCTTAAGTTTTTTTAGTTTAGTTCAATCGTTCGCAGGTCACGTGGCATTAACACACACTTAACACTCAGTCACATCTTGACTCTCAGTGAACGGAGCACATCGGAACCACAAAGAGGGGAAAAAACGGAGTGGACAGTGGACAGTGGACAGATACATAGATCGATGGATACAGATAGATACAAAAGCGGTTGGTTGGGGAGCGGATCGAATCGATGGGGCTATCGTTAATGTGTTATCCCAAACGCTACTGAAGTTCTCAAGTTGAAGTTTTCAATTGGCAAGTTAATTTGGAATAATCAAGTTCGGAATACATAAAAATGCAAAGGCGCTGGATAAATGTTATCTTCTTTTAAGGAATTTATGTGACAAAAATAATCTGATTAAAGCTCTGACTTTTCGCTCGAATTGTATTTTACCCAGTCAGTATCCGCGTTCCCGGCTGATGATTGCTTTTAAGGTATTCGGAGTCGAGTCAGGGGAAAAGAAAAAGCTGGGCGTGAAAAGCGACTACATGGCGGGGGGGGAATGGAGTTTGGATGAGCGGGGACGGCATGCAGGACTGGAGCTCAAGGAGCTGATGGGAGGAGTGTGCACAACATGTAGATGCTAAATTCCAAATACTATCGACTAGATAAAAGCATTGCTTGATATATCATATACACTACCTTGCAAAGTTGTTAGTGAAGTAGGGTTGGAAGCGTCTATATCATACACACCTCTGTGGGCGCATTCCTTTTTGAAGTTGAGGCGAATGGGTGTGCCTGAGAGCGGCTTGTTGTGGCGCGTCTGGATCTTCAGGCCGACGTTGAAGGACGCGGTGCCGGAGCTGTTGCCGGTGCAGGGCAGGAAGATGCTGAAATCTGGCTTGGGATGAGGCTCGATTGCCGCGATCGCTGCTCAATGGCTGCTGCAGTAGCTGCAGTAGTACTCACTCTTCTGCTCCTGCGGAATGCGGCCGCTCTTGCGGATGGAGAGCGTCGGCGCCTTCAGGATGCTCTCGTCCATCGTCTGCAGGCGGTCAAAGTCGTAGAAGTACTTGCGACGCCCCGACTTCCACGTAAAGTTCACGTAGTTCACCTCGGACGGGATCACCAGGAAGTTGTACAGCGTGGTATCGCGCAGATCGTTGGTCACCCTGCTGTTGTGGATGGCGTAGAGGCGTTCCGAGTAACCCTCTGGGAAGTAGAGCGCTGAGGAGCAGAGGAATTGGCTACTATTAGTGCAGATCTCTCTGTAGGTGTGAACTACATTGCGTTTACCCCTCAAAAGAATTTCAATTTGATTTGCAATTAAAGAGGGCACTTTCGGTGGCTTTTTCCCGACCCACTTACCAGTGAGCATCTTGAGCTGCTGCTCGTTGATCCACAGCGAGATGCCGCTCTCCTCGTTGCGGTTGTGCCGGTTGCCACCGCCTCCTCCGCCGCCTCCGCCTCCGACGCCAGCACCGCCCCCTCCGGCGCCCGCGCCGCCGCCCCCTGCTGTTTCTTCCGCTGACCTCGCCGCGGAACGAAGACGCTGTCCTGGTCCGCAAAGTTGTCCAGGCCATCGCTGTTGGCATCGTTGTTGCCGTGGCTCTCCTCCGAGCTGGACGCGCCGGAGTCCGATTTTCTGTTACTGTTGTTGCTGTTGTTGTTGTTATTGTTATTGTTATTCCGATTGTGGTGCTGACGACACTCGAGCTGGCCGATGCAGAGGAGCGTGTGCACGATCAGCACCAGATAGATCCACTTGACCACGCAACCAATGCCCTGATGTGTCATTTTTCCCCCAGCTGCCAAAGCAAACAGAAACGGGAATCGAAATTAAAAATAAACGAATAAACGAATCAACGATGGTTGCGGCTCTTAGCCGAGCCAGCCTCTTGACACACTGGCTCCCTAGCTGCCCATCTCCCCCAGAACCCCCAGATATCGGATCGGATGTCTGATTGCTTATTGCCGGCCACTGATTGCCAATCGCAAGCCCATCCAGTTTGTTTATCTTTAGCCATATTTGCAGACCCTCGATCTATTTGCGATTCGGTTTCGCTGCCTTCGCCGCTGGCATTATCTATTTGCCAGAGGGTTTTCGAGTGGGCGAGGTGTTATGCCTTCAGTTTTCCAGAAATAGTTTTTTAAATCATTTCAATATCGTTGGGTGGGGAATTTGTCAAAGCTTAACTGAAGGCACAAGGCAAATGGGTTTAGTGGAATATAGAATATACATAGTTGCTGATAAATAATATACAGATAATCGATATAGCTTGATTTCTACTTTATAAGTCTTTTATAAGTCTTATTAGCCAAAATCTGAGATGAAAAGGGACGATGCCAGCACCAAAAGAAGTGTCCCCATTCCGATGCGGTGCATCCCCTGCCCTCGGCGAAGTCCCCCAACTTCGGCTCGGCCAGATTGAAGCGGTAAAGGGCAGTCTTTCGGAAGGTGGATGGACGAGGTGGATGGAGGGGGAGAGGCAGAGGCAGAGGCAGAGAGCAAGTTGTTAGCACTTTGCCTGGTGTGAAGTTACCCAAGTCAACGAGGGCCAGCCCAGTCCGCAAACCCTTGTTACACGCCAGACCGGACAGCCAGAAGCCAGACGTTTAACACGGCCAACAAGTGAGCGGACATTGGACAACGGACGACGGACAACGGACAACGGACAAGAGGTGGACTGCCATCCAGTGCTGACCGTTTACTTCTCCCATTTGGCTTTCGTAGCTACTCCAGCGGGCTGCAACTCGCAGCTCAGTGCGGTGAGTGCGGTTTTAACACCAATGAAACACTTTTCAGCAAACCCATTTTTTTAGAAAGTTGAAAAGGGGTTGCATCGTAAAAAATTAAAAAAATCGACCAGAAAGTAAAAAGTTAACTAGTGATAACCAATGTATGTATTTCTGTTTTGTAACCCAATTATAATAGGTCATGGCTGTGGCGAAGAACACACAGAACAGGCCTGCTGCCAGTTTGGGACAGTTTGGGACATCTTATGATATTTTGGGACAAGTAAGAACTTCAAAGATTAAGACCCTACTATGGCTTTCTGTTCGCCTGGTACTTCAATATGCGTTTGGTCCAAAAAATTTGGGTTAGGCTGATTGATTGCAATTGGAACTCTTAGATTTCAAATACCAGTAGTAGTTAAAAAACAACATTTGGGAGAAATCAAGTCGATATGATCAAAAACAATGGCATGATATTTTTTTCCCTTTATATTTTTGATCTCGTCTATGGAAGCTATCCGATATAGTCACCCGATCTGGCCCGTTCCGACTTAGCGACTGAGAGCGCTGGGAAAAGTCCACTTTTTAGTGAAGCCAATTTTCAGAAAATCGGGAAGAGTTTATATCATAAAAATTTTAAATAATCGACCCAAATATAAAAATTGAATAATGATGCAGCTTGTTAGGGAATCAAACCACAAACTCATGGAATTAAAATCGGACAGTAATCAAAAAAGGAATGGGCAGTCAGCTTTTTTGCCCCCAAACACCTGTCAGCACTGCAGACTGGACAGCCGATCGATGGAGCGCTGTCTGTCCATCACGAATGAATGGGTTGCTTCGAGATCCAGGGACAGGGCAAACGGCAAACGGCGATGATGGGCCAGAAAACAAGTTAAGCTGTCTTAATGAGATCAAACATGGCGATTATGAAGAATTACTTGGAGATAATGACATCGGCCAGCGCGACTTAAAAGACTCGAAGATTCTCCTCGAGGCTGTGGAAGAGGAGAGCTTGGAGATCAGCAGGGCTCGGATTCCTCTGGAAAATAGCATGGGAACGGCTTTCGTTAAGTGATCCGATTGCTACTTCTGGACTCCCAGTGCTCCCACGTATATCCGACTCGTAATTCGTAATTGAATCAGTGGTCTGAGGGTCGTTGGCGGAAGTATTGCTTTTGGCAGGGAACAACGTAATACGACTGTTGAACGTTAAGAGAAAGTGTCAAAGGGCACTTAGATTGGCGCTGAATCGGGATGAAAACATTCACGATTTGTTTTGAAATTATTTATAATTCGTGCTAGCTAATGGGTCGACCGATAAGCGGGCACATGACGATGGCCATAGTCGGCCCCGGCGCATAGATAATCCCATTCACGGTCAATCTGGGTTCCAATCTGAGTGCCATCAGTCCGATCGTCGCAATTGACAGCCAAATCATAGGTGTACCGTAAAGCTCAGCCATAGAAATGATTTAATACGGCGACTTTAATTAGGACTCAACCATTATGAAGTTGGGACTTGCCCAAATAGCAGGGGCGGACGCAGGGGGGGTGTTTGGGGGGTCCGGACCCCCCCCCAAAATCGCAGACTTTTTCAAATTCCCTTACAGCACACGGCCTTTCAACCATATAAACTACAAATTTTTTTGACCGGACCCCCCCCAAACGAAAAAATTTTTCGACCGGACCCCCCAAAATTTTTTTCTGCGTCCGCCCCTGCCAAATAGCGTATACATATACGAGTATATCTGTTTTAAATATCTATAGAAATGTGGGGATCCCATGAGGATCTTGTCTCCCCGTCCGAAGAGAATCAGGTGCACAAAGGAAGGAGGCGAAGGGGCGAGGATCGGTCGTCTGGCAGGGCAACATTATTATTAAACTCCATATCAGGTCGATGGAATGAAGATGAGCCCATGTCTCGATGTTGCTGCTGTCGTCAACGATATAATTGCTTCAGCTCGGGGAAAAGGGACAGATTAACATTTTAGCGTGAAACTGGCGACAAGACAACCGGCGAAGAAGAAGAAGAAGAAGAGGGAGCAGCAGCAGCAGAAGCAGCAGCAGCAGCAGCAGTAGCAATCGAAGTAGGAACGGCGGCAACAACAATTTGTTAGCTCTTTACGATTATTGCCTTTCTCACACCTTATTACCAAGAAAATAAAGAAGCAGCATCCACAGGGCAGCAACAAATACAACAAATACGCGACGATGAGACGTGAAAATAAAAATAATAAAAAAAAAAAAACAGGCACACACAACACACAGGGCACAACAAAAGGCAACTTGGCCGAGAACAAGAAGCTGCTTCTTGAGAGTGGACGGGCTGGACGGACTGGACTGCTGGAGTGGAGTGGCGTGAAGTGGAGTGGACTGGCAGTGGGCCTGGAAGTGAGACTGGAAACGAGTGGGGGCGGAGGAGAGAGACTGGAAATCGCACACTCACAGCCATAAACGGTGCACTGCAGGTGCAAGCGAGAGGCAAGAGGTTAAAAAAAATCCCTACCAAAAATTGATATACATGCATTGAGAAAAATAATGTGTAAGAAATCTCTTAAGTTCACTTCCCAAAGCATACCTACTTTAAAAATATTTTTTTAGTGATTTAAAACCTTTGTAAATATTTAAAACTAGACGATTTAATATTATTCCAATATTAATACGATTTATAGTATTTTAAATGAAATTTATACTTCTCGGGGCAGCATTTGAATGATGCCCAGTGCTTAACAGCAACAACAAGTGGCACTTGTTTGCTTGATAAAACAACAGTCGCACGCACACACACGCAGCCATAACAACACCTTGGCCAAATAAAGTGGGCAAAACGGCTACAGTCGACAACTGGATACTCCACACCTCTGTAACCTTGGCCGATAAATCTCCTTGCGAGCACAGGACAGCACTATTTACACCGAAAAAGTTCAAGCAACCGAATGTTGGATGCATGAATGAGCACTGAATAGCAGGAGATCGAAGATGCGAACGATACCTACATTTCCGTTGTAGGTTTTTCTCTCTGCAGGTTGGCAGGTTGTGACACCTGACCTAGAGGGTGATGGGTTAGCCGTGCTTCCATACCCTGGCGCAACCCATTAATCCTGGCTGCTACTTCTACTAATGATAACGATCACCAATTGAGTGACAGAAGAGGGTGTGGGATGCGCAGGAGGAGGGGGAGGAAGAAGAGGAGAAGGAGAAGGAGAAACAAAAGGAGGAGTTGGAGTTGGAGATGGAGATGGAGAAGGAGAAGGCGGAGAGCCAGACAACAGGCGGATAACAACGCCTGTCTCCAAGTGGGCTCAAGTGCTGCAGGAGGAGAAGAAGTGGCAGCAAGGGGCCGACCGAGAGAAGCGACAAACAGACTGGCAGCGAGACACGCAGGCTGCCGGGCAACCGGCAGCAGCAGCAACAGCAGCAGCAGCAGAAGCAGCAGCAGCAGCAGCAGCAGCAGCAGCAGCAGAGCCAAAAGCAGAAGCTACTTGAGAGCCACAGAATTGCGATTCCGATGAGGCGATCGTGTGTCTATATGCAAGCTGAAGAGCCTGGCAAACGCGCAGTCGCACAGCGACCATTCCACTCCATTACCAGTTCGCAGATCGCCGCTTCCAGCATCCAGCATCCAACCTCCAACATGCAGCAGCAGCAGCTCGCAGGAGCTGGCAATCAAATGGCCAACGTTGGACAATGACTTTCACGCCTTTCGAGCGCGCCAAAATGAACAAGTCAAGTAGAGGCGACCACAGCGCACTCCAGATACTCTATCCGCCATCTGTATTGTACGGACTCTTAAACAAAAAATTGGGCATACATGATCCAATCTATTCAATACAATTTTTTCAAATTTGCCACCTCTTATCAAAATTGACAAAATCCGCACAGTTACGCATAGATACTTAAGACCGACCGGATCTGTAGTTGAATTTCAAACGTTTCAATTTGAGTTTTTGGGGTACTTCAGAAAACAAGTTTTTAGAGAAATGATACCAGCTTTCTTGTTGATATTTTTGCTGATGCTCCTATCGACCGACAACACTCTTTTTTCCGTGCACTTTTCTCCCAGACGCCTCCCGTTTTCAATTTCAATTTCAATTTCCGTTACGATCGATCAGCACTTAGGCATTCAAACTGAACTTCAAGTTGACAGCGCAGGGGGAGGGATATTAATTTAAATTGAACGGACAATCGCCCCATTGATATGGCGAAAATGCAAGTCTTCCGCCTATTTGGGTTTAGTTAGTTCTTATCAATAAATAACGCTTGTGCGCGATAAACTCTAGATGTCTGGATGGCAATATTCAAAACAATCACGAAACGTTTAAATCACGGGTTTGTTCCAGTTTGAAATTTGAACACTTTACCTACTCGTTGGCTGTCGCCGGGCAGTAGTAGGACCACTTAGATTGGCAGTTGACTTGGTTGACAAATAAAGGCAAAAAAAAGGCCCGATTGGGCTCCGAAAAAAAACACTTTTGCCAAATTTCTTGAGCCTTGAAGTTTTCACAAATTCCGTCACGTCGAATTTTTTTCCCAGGGACGAACGCGAAAAAGTATCAATTTATGGGACTTTTTCAATATTTTGTCTACCGGCGATATTTTTTTCAAACTGATTTTGAACGAAGCAAAACAACTTTACAAGTCCCGCACAGTTTCGGGAGCGACCGTCGCGCTGCAGCTCCTAAGCTGATCTGGACAGCCCCAACAAAAACCGGAGGCCGCTGCGATCGAATCCCAGTGATGCCAACTGTTTAGTTAGACAAAACGCCCTAAGAAAGGCAAACTAATAAACTGCAAGCCCATTTTGTATGAACTTACTTCAATTCTTTATCAATGTAAGACTGCAAATATGAGATATAATTATGTATAAATTGCCTATTTTATTTTATTTGATAAGTTGAATGTGGCGTAAAAATAGTCAAATAGGCAACACTCTTTTTCGAACCTTCAAACAATCCCAAGCCTTTGCAATCCTCTCTCAAACCTCTCCTAACCGCAACCTCGCTCTTAAAATTTTAAATAAGATGAACGCCTCTTCTGATTAGTAAACTTTTCTAAATCAGTTTTGCAAATTTGTAAAAATCATTTTCGTCGATGTATTGCTTTTCAGAAAACAATAAATCTAAAGAGAAAAGTTAAATTTTAACCGAATGTGGAACTGGTGCTTAGCCGCAAATCTGATCTCTACACAGTCGGCTTAATTTCGTTTCATACTTTTCGGGTGCCTGAGCAAATGAGATTTAGCACAGTTTCAAACCATTGACTGCAGCAAGGTCTTATGCTCCAACTACCGTTATAAGCCAGAGCGTATTTTTCAATTGGAAAGTCACAAACTTTTAGGTTTTCGTCCCCCCAATAAGAAGTCATTGTGCGGGTAAAGGAAAAATACATTGATTGTGGTAGCTATTTTCATTCTTCTTAAGAGTACACGTATAACATTTAGTTACAAATACATTTACAATTGAAAATTGTTTCTACTTTGGGGAACAAAAGTACAATTCTACGTGATGACATATCAACTAATCAGTTAAGTTTAACATACATACATATACATATAAAATGTTTTATATAATAATATGAGACAAAAAAAAAAAGAATACAATTTGATCCTTGGGTTCGTTAGCTTAGTAAACATAATTTATGCGCCAGCGGCAGCGGAAGAAGCAGCAAAAAATTACCGAATTCACTCAACACAATTTATCATAAACGTTCAATAAAAATGGCTATTTTGATCGAGAATTACAATTTTTCAAATAAGCAGTCCCATTTCTAAATAAGAAGACAAGGTTTTCAGACGTTACGAGTTTGCTTGGTAAAAACAAGTTGAGTTCGATTCCATACAGTACAGTAATACCTCTGCTGTTTATTATTTTTACACGCATTATCAATAAATTTATTCCTTGCTGAATCGAAAGGAGGAGTCAAAAGCTTTATTTAGAACTATTATTACATGCCCATAAATATTTTTAATGTTAGTCATACATTTAAAAGCAAATCGAATTTAGATAATCTTCCGTAGCTTTAGCTTTGTTCTTGTTTTGTAACTTTAAAAGTTGTTTCGATTAATTGAGTCGCGAAATAAACTTTGATTGATTTGATTAATTGATTTGATCGATCGACACCGCTTGTTTCTTTCGAATCTGAAATCCGTTATCGATTCCAAGTTAAATCTTCAATAACTTCTAACACACACGGGTATTTAATTTAATTAATATTGGTTGACTTCGGAGAGTTGCATATAACGCGCTTTGTGCTCGGTTACTTGGTGTTCTCGTGGCTCGTGGATTGCCTCGATTCACATAGTCCGCGATATCGCTAAAGATATCACGGATATAGGTTTGTCGGCTGGCCTCTTCTACGTTCGCACGTAGCTGGTTTCCAAAAATTCGTTGTGTTCTTGTGTAAAAGAGATCTCAAAACAAAAGCGAAAGTTGCTGATTCCTGGATCCTGGATTGGTTATACATATCTCTCTGGTGGTTCGTTTGGTTAGTTTGGTATTCTAGTGCTGGCGAATGTTTCGGGACTTGTTTGTCATAGATAGGGACTCGATTATTGGTGGGGAGTTAGCTGAGTCGTCGTAGAGCCTAATAGTTATACTACAGACCGGACCGGCTCGTTATCTGAATCGCTATTTCTTAAGAATATGTACTCGTATGTATTTCTGATCCGGCGTTGGCTGGTTACTACAGCTAGATATCTTGTATAATTGTATATATATGTATAGACAGATAATAGCGAACATTATTGCTCAGACCCATTAGAATAGTTTTCGGCTGCTCCTCATGATGCCCTCGACCTCGACCTCGAAGACGTGCCAGACCTTTGCACTATTTAATTAATTTTGTATATATATTTTGGTAATATATTATATTGGTGTTTTGCTGTTGCTGCTTGAAGACTAATAGTTGACGGGGCGGCGTGGCCGTGGCTTGATCTTCTCGGATATCTGCCACATCTCCTCCTCGCCCATGAAGTCCTTGAAGTTATCGAAGAAGCGTATTATGCGCTCGTTGCGTCGAAATGGATAGGCACTGTGTCGCAAAGTAGATAGGAAAACCCAATTAATCACTCAGTCGTTCGAATAACAACAGTCTTAGCTAGTGCATTACCATTTCTTGAAACGTTTCATGTTCACAATAATGTTGTACTGCTGCCAGCGCTTGGAGAAGTTAATCACGCCCTTGGACAGGTAGTCCTGGTTGCCCACGTGCACAAACGTCAAGTCCTGCAGCACCAGGCCGCTGAAACGGAAAAGCAAATGGGTTAGGACGATCAAACAGGAGGAAACAAGGGAGAGCAAAGGCGGCAAGAGCGGCATCCTCACATATATGGTATGCAGGGCGGATTCGTTTCGGCCAGGGCCTGCCGATAGGCCCGAAAACTGGAGCTGGAATCGATGAGGGCGCAGAAGGAGCGCACCTCCTCGGTGATGCCCTTCTGCCACTCCAGTCTGCAATACAAAAAAAGGAGATGGAGATTGTAAGGGGCTTCAAGGCGGCTTCATTGCTCCGAGGACGCACCTTCTTATGGGGCCCGAGTCGAGGGCCGAGAGCAGGGCCAGGTAGGAGTTGTAGTTGTTCATCTTGCGCAGGTGCTTCATGATCTTGATGAACTTGTTCACGTGCTTCTCGCGCTCCTTGGCGTCCTGCAGGCGCAGGATCTTCGAGCGCGCCCAGTAGGACATCTTGTTGAAGTGCTCGGTGAACTTGTTGAGGTTCGGCGACTTCTCCTCGCACTGATCTTTGGCAAATAGTAATACTTCGGGTATCTCGATCTTCTGGAACAGCTCGGCGTCCAGCAGCGTCATCTGTTCGGCGATCTCCAGCGACTTGAGGTCCAGCAGGCTCAGTTGGTTACCTCCGCCTCCTCCGCCGGCAGCGCCGCTCCCGGCGATTCCCGCCCCGGCGGCCCCGCCGCCACTGCCGCCGCCCAACTCCAGCTCGCCGAGGAAGCCGTACACCTTGGGCTCCTTGTACAGCGTCACCTTCTCCACGAACTTGTTGCGCAGGCACTTGGCCAGGTAGAGCTGGCCGGAGCAGACCAGCTGATAGACGAACTCCACCAGCAGGCTCAGCAGCTGGCTGGTGAGATCCGTCGACCTGGATACGACGGGGACACGAGAGACGCAAGGATTAGCGGGTGTGGTTTAAGGCAGCTTCAAGGGCTTTCCACTCACGTTAGATCGCTGACGACGCGGACCAGCAGCGAGAAGGTCTCCTTGGCGGCCTTGTCCTCCTGCGCCTGACAGAAGAAGTATGTGTAGCGATGGGTCAGCTTCTCGATCACGTCGATCGGCTGGATGAAGGTGCGGAAGGTGGTGATGAAGGCCTCGCTGAACGCTGCACGAACGGAATGGACAGAGACAACAGAGGCGTTGGGTAAATGGCTGAGCGAATGCGAACGGGAATGGGAATGGGACTTGGGATGCGGGTGCGGGTGCGGGTGCAGGTGCAGTTGCTTCGGGTGCTTCTGCGAATGCCTACCGTTGTCGGCGACCTTCTGGACGCGGCTGGCGTGCACGATCAGGGCGTCGATGTAGCCGCCCTTCACCTCGGGCCCCTCCTCCTCCTTCTTCTTGAGTATCAGGTACCGCGTGATGTTCACCTCCTCCAGCATGTTGACCAGCATCTCCTCCGGCTCGCCCTCGCCCTCGCCCTCCGCCTCGGCATCCGGCTCGATCTCGATCTCCTCATCCGGCTTGGCTGCCTCGTCGCCGGCCTGGCCGCCCTGCTGCCCCTCCTCCGCCTGCTCCGGATCGACCTCGAGCAGTTGGGGCGTGCTGATCGGCTGGCCGGCGTTAATCGCGCCCTCTTCCGAGTCGCCGCCGGGCAGCTGGTGCGAGTGACAGTAGAAGGTATGGCCGCCGTCGTCGACGACGCCGCTCACGTTCTCGTTGCTGTCCAGCACCGGGGAGCGGGGCTCCGCCAGCGCCTCCTCGCCGGCCAACCCATCGTGGAGCTCCTCGCAGACGGTCGCCATCCGGCTGTCCGGCTTGCCTCCGCTTCCGCCGGCCAACCCATTCTCGGCCAGCGTCGGCTTGGGACTCGGCGGCGGCGTGGTCACAATGATGGGCTGCAGTGAGGCGGAGGCGGAGGGACCCATGCTTGTCGCCTTGCGCTGCTTGTAGTTCTTTGGCGGGAGCGCGGGCGGCACCTCCACTTCCGGCGACAGCTCCTTGCTCATCGGCATGATGCTGAAATGGAAATGGAGGTTGCAGGGTGCATGGAAGCACATGGAAGCAGGGAAGTGGTGTACTCACTTCATGGTCTGGCTGTGCGAGATGTTGCGGCTGATGTTGTAGGCGTGCATCGTGTGGCGGTGCTGCTCGATGGATCGCGTGGAGGCCGAGCAGATCTCCATGTAGGCCAGAACTGTGTGCGGTAGCGAAGGGAGAGCATAAGTGGTTTCTCATATGGAAAATAAGGGGACAGTAGCTAGTAACTAGTAACCAGTAACCAGGTAACTAAGCCGCTCGACGGATCCTTGGAGCCTCCCGCCCGAGGGAGTTGGCTTGCTCGAGGTCTACGGGTCTACAGGGATCGCATCGCAACAACAAAATGTAGCAGGAACGGATGACAACACACAGAGCGAGGAAAAAGAGCTTTTTTTTTGAGGCTGGACAGGTGGGACACAGCGGGTTAGGCGGAGCGAAATGGAAGCCAGAGAGCTTGAACCAAGTCTAGGATCTAGGGATCTAGGCTTTTGAACAGAAACAGAAATGGAAACTGCAAACAGGTGGCTGCTCGGGCGCCAAGTAAAAACCAAAGCGGGGCGCCATCAAAATAAACAGCGGAGCGAAAAGAAAAGCCCTCGAAGAGAACTCGAAATGCTCTTTCCAAGATGGATTCAGATTCAGATGAAGTTCTGGATCAGATCTGAATGGAGTATTCAGAATCACGAGTTAACAAAATCGAGACGGATTAAGACCTGTAAGCAATTATTCCAGCACCCATCAATTTTGGAATATTTCAACTCAACGTTAGTATTTCGATGAATCTCAGTTGAGAAGTGTTTTTTTTTTTTTTAAGGAAGAAAAGACCATTGCGAGCTCTCTTGGGACGCCGAAAAAGATTGTTTTGTGGGTGATTTGGTTTCGTTTTCGTTTTTGTTTTTGTCTTTTGTATCGGTATTGTATTGGTTTTGTATTGGTTTTGGTTTTTTGGTTTTGGCAGTTTTGGCAGCTGGCAGCTGGCAGTTGGCTTAGTGTTTTTGTTTCGTGTTGGTCCTCTAGTAACACACACAGACTTACCCGAAAAGGCCACACTTTGAAACACTAGATGTTGGTTGGAACGATAATTTAGATGGGTTAGACTCTTGCGTACAACAATTTGGCAAACTTTCTTGTCGCCAGCTTTTCTAAGGTGTTTGCGATAATGCGGGTGGTATGTGCTATAAATAAAACGGTCTTAAACAAACAAACAAATTTCACAGAACGCACTGGCTATTGATTAAACTTGATGACTGATCAACTAACTAACTAACTGACTGATTAGCTGACTGACTAGACTGACTAACTGACTGTTTGGAGTTCTGATTGTTGTGCTGTTTTGAGTGTTTGGTCTGATTTCGTCTGTTTGGGTCTCTCTCTCTGGGCTCTAGGATGGAGTGGCCTACTCAAGGTGCATGATGGATGCCGCGGAGGAGCAACAGGCGACCCCCAGCGAGTGCGCTCGCCACAAACACCCGCTAACTCACCGCTCGACTTGGCCTGGGCGACCAACCAAGCGACCAACGAAAGGTAAGGAAATAATACACACAATGTACACAACAAAACAACACACACATTATTGTACGAGATGCATAACCAAACCAGAAGGGAAGAAACGGAAAACAGAAACCGGAAACCGGAAAAAATCATACGAAAAAAAAAGGGAAAGGAAGAAAATCGATGTGAGTAGAGTGTGCATCGTGGGCGAGCCGACTTACTGTGCTTCTTCTTCATCGGCAGCGGCGGCGGCTCCTGGTCCAAGTGGCGCTGGCTGCAGCTCCCCGCACTGCCCGCCAGCTGGATGCCGCGCGATCCCTCGATCAGGCTGCGGTGCTTCGAGGGCCACGGCTGCAGCTGCCCGGCGGAGCAGCTGTGCGGATGGTTCAGCTGGTTCATCTGGTTCAGGTGGTTCATCTGGTTCAGGTGGTTGAGGTGGTGGTACGGCGACACCTGCCGCAGCTCGGCCACCTCCGACTGGCTGCTCCGGTGGCTAGCCCACCCAGATGCGGACTGGGCCTCGTCCAGCTCGTCGGTCGTCGACTCGTGGCGCGTGAGGCTGCTCCTCTGGACGCTCTTTGGCGGCAGGGCGGGCGCCAGTTCCGGCGAGGATCCGAGAGTGACCGCCTGCTGCTGCTGGTGCTCCAGTTCGCTGGTGGTGCTGGAGTATCCCGTGGTGGTGCTGCTACTTGTGCTGCTGGTGGTGGTGGTGGTGCAGCTGCTGCTCGAGATCTGCCGCTGGCTATGCGACACCGTCTGGCTGATCTGCTGGTACTCGCCGCCCACCACCGCCGACGACTCGCTGATGCTGACCGCCATCTCCGAGTTGCTGCTCGTCGTCTGCGTGGAGGTGCGGAACTCGCGCATCGAAACGAAACCTGTCGAACGGAGAATGGAGAATGGAACGCATTAAAAAGAACCCGTGCTGGAGAGTGTGTTCTCGTGGAGAACAGTTAACATATAACAGAGAACGGATAACAGAGAACGGATAACAATGAACGGATAAAAGAGAACGGATAACAGAGAAGAGGGAAGAGAAAACGGGGAGCAGGAAGCCGAAACCAAGCGGAAATTAAACAGCTTAAAGGGGACGGCGGTGGGAAGGCGGAGGAGAGGAGGAGCCAAGCCGAACTATTTACAGCATCTGTCGACCTGCTCGGGAACAGGTGTACAGCAAGCCAAAGCATGGAGGAGCACATGGAGCATGGGGAGGAAGAAAGCCGGGAGGGAAGTGGAAAGTAGAGGAGGAGGAGGAGGAGCTGCAGGTCGGGATGGTAGCTACGGATAGTAGATAGTTGTTTGTTTTTTCTGGGTACCCGATTCGTTTGAGTGGCGATTGCTGTTAGTCTCCCCGCCACCACCAGTCGCTGAGGCGACGCCTCCTGCATCGCCAACTCCTCCAGATCCAGATGCAGATGCAGTTGCAGATGCACCGGAACAGGAACTAAAAACAGGAACGGCCCCCGGATTACCGCCACCAAGCAGGAGGGCTGTCTGCTGCGCCTTGTCCTCGATGGCGGCTTCTGCGCGGGATTCGTTGGACGTGGCGGCCGAACCTTGACCAGTCGACGACCGGTGCTGACCAGCAGTCGGCGGCGGAGCGCCGCGACAATACTCACTGTAGCTGACCAGCTTCTCCATGTCCTCGGCCAGCATCGCCGGCATCTTTGGCACATGCCTCTGCTGCTGCTGCAGCAGCTGCTGTTGTTGTTGTTGCTGTTGCTGTTGGTGGTGGTCCTCCTCCTCCCGCGAGTGATTCAACGCCGAGTCGAAGGAGCACTGACTATTCTCGTCTGGCGACCGGGAGCGCACCGATAGCCTGTGGAAGAGGGGAGGTGCAATCAGAGGGGGATCAGATCAGGGAGCACATGGCGGATGACCTACCTATCCACGCCGTAGTTCAGCAGCGAGCTGCAGTCCAGGTCCGAGTTCAAACTGATGTTGTGCGACTGCGCATACGGCAGCGGACTGGCCTGGTTCGAGGTGGACGCCGATGAGGAGGAGCCCACGCCACCGCCACCGGCCACGCCCACTCCGCCCGCAGACGCACCCGGCTGGCTGCGTCGCTTGGGGGGCAGCGGCGGGGGATTGCTGGCGCGGTCGGGGAGCGGCGGCTTCGGCGGAGGACTCGTGTCGCGCAGGATGCTCTCGGTGCTGTGGGAGCCGCGCATGGGGTTCACGTTGTGCTGCTCCAGGATGTCGCGCTCCTTGGGCGTCAGCCCGATGTCCGGCAGCGAGGTCCGCTGGGCGATGGCCGCCGACTCGGCGACGGAGACGCGCATGGGAGCCCCGGCCGCCACTCCCGGCGCTGAGGTGACCACGCCCATGATCTCGGCCGCCGCCCCGATGCCGCCCAGGCCGGAGCCGCTGTAGCGGAAGGCGCACTGGTCCTGCTCCTTCAGCTTGCCCTGCGCCAGCGTCACGAGGTTCTGTGGATGGAGGGAGGAAGGGAAGGAGTTAGCAAGGATCATCGGAGGAGGAGGAGACTCCCCAAAAGGTGACCTCACCCGCACTGCGGCCTCGAGCAGGTCGATGACCTCGCGCACGTTGTCGTTGCTCAGGGAGGCGCACTCGCCGCTCTCCTCGGAGAGCATCACCTCGTCGCAGAGCTTGATGAGCTTGCCCAGGCTCTGGTAGACCTGCTGGGTGGCGCAGCTCATGATGGCACTGTTCTCGTTCAGGGTGTACGTCTGGATCACCGAGTACATGCTGGCAATGGTCTCCAGGATGACCGTCCCGTTGCCCGGCAGCACCTCCAGCTTCTTCTTGAGTATCACGTCCCGGAAGTGCTTCAGGGCATTGGAGATGTCCTTGACGTGCGTCTCCAGCGTTTGCGTCGACCGCTGCACCTCCTCGGTGGTGGGCGGGGCCTTCGATCCGTGCTTGGTGCGCGGCGAGTGCGGCGAGTGGGAGCGCCCCAGGGTGTTGTTCGTGGTCCGCATCAGGGAGATCTTCTCGATGAGGTCGTCCTTGAAGGAGCGCGCCCTCCGCGCCAGCTTCGTGCCCTTCAAGCTGTTCTTGTGTCCCGACGACCCGGCACTGGGTGGTGCCGGCGGAACTCCACCTCCAGCTCCTCCTGCACCTCCAGTTGCTCCGGCGCCTCCTGATCCTGACACCCGACTAGATCCCCCCGGCGCTCCCTGCTGCTGCGAGGAGCTGTGGTGGTGGTGGTGGTGCTGCTGCTGCTGCTGGTGGTGGTGCGCGGGTGGTGGCGGGGTGCAGGCGGTCGCGTAGCCGCCGCTGTTGATGCTGTTGTTGCTGTTGCTCTTGCTGCTGCAGCCGCCACCGCCGCCCACTCCGATGCCACTGGAACAGGTGCCGGGCGTGGATGGAGAACTGATGCTGCCGTCTGCAAGGAGAGCAAGGAAACGATGTTCGTGAGTCAATACACTAATATAAATGATTCAATATATCAATATTATATAAATTTTATTGGAAGGTGTGGTAATTATATTGTATGTATCAATAGTTAAAACTTCAAGATCTCACAAGGAGATCACTAATCCAAGTTCTTTGCATCGCGACATTCGTGTTTCCCATACAAAATATACAAAATATCTTTCCTGGTCGAACAGCATTCTTGAATGGCAAATTAAAAAGCAAAAGTAGCCACATTCAAAACCACAATCTTCGGCAATATAAGGCAACGTATACTTGGTTTGGCCTTTCAGTTTAGTTTTCTTAATTGGGTTAAGTTACGTGAATATTTTATTATTACGTAGCAGATTCTGAGTTCTCAGAGACAAGTGTTTTTGCCTCTTTCGAAATGAAATGATTCTAACGTGCAATGTTCAAGAAATTTGGAAGAGCTACGCCTGAAAGGCACATGTGCTATTCCCAGCAGAGTTCCCAGCACTTGCAGTGGCCCCCATTCTTCGGAATCGTTCATGCGAGCCATTTTGAACCATTTCGGAACATTTGGGAACTCCCCAAGTGGCCAAGTGCCCACTGCCGACTAAGAGGGAAGCGGGAGGATGGAGGAGGAAAGTGGGGAGCAGAGCACCACCCACTGAGCGAAGCGCCCGGCAAACGGCGAACGGGGAACGAGCAGCTTTCACTTACGGCACACCGCATTCTTGAGCGGCACAGGTGTGGCGGCCATCTCCATATCCACACCGATATCCACGTCCATCTGCAGCGGAATCGCTGGCGTTGATAGCGCCAATCGCGTCAACTTTTTGTATCTGCGCCGTCTGTGGAATTTGATGCTGTGCAACGTGTTGCCGGTGGCAATGTTGCAGGTGTTGCCATTGCTATTGCCACTTGGGCTTTGGCTCTTCTTGTTGCTGCTGTTGTTGTTGCTGCTGTTGTTATTATTGTTGTTGTTGTCGTCGCGAGGCGACCAAGATTGCCGCTGTGTCTTCCAGTAGCGAGGGGATCCATCACTGTGGCGACTCAGACTCAAACTCAAACTCTGACTCTGACTGAGATTCGCATTGGGATTCGGATCGGTATGGGGTATTGGATTGGGATTCGGATTCGGATTCGGATTTGGCTGCGGCTGCGGCTGCGATGGCAACTGCTTGACCGTGTACGAGTAGAAACGCCAGCGGTCGGCGAGCGCACAGTCGCTCAAAAAAGACTCATCAAACTGCGGCATGTTGCATAATGGCAGCAGCAACAACTCCAGCGACAGCAGCACGCATAACAACAATTTGTTGTGGTTAAAGTGTTTGGCCAAAGCGAATGTGCCGATAGCACCACACACACACACACACACAATACAACGCAACACAACACAACAACACACAGGTAACTGATTTCACCGAATTCCGATAAGCGATAGCAGCAACATCAGTTTGTATAAGATTGTTGACTTGGGCGAATGTCGGTTACGACATCTCCTCGATTTCCATTGATTGATTCACTCTCAACTTCGATTTCGGCTATATGTTGTTCCAAGGAGGCTTTGGCCACTGATAAAAAACTGGAGATATATATTTTTGATAGCCATACGGTTGTTTCTGTTCACTCTTCTTGCTTATTTAAATCGGATGACTGATTTAAAAGATTTCAGCATTTTTTAACACGCTGATATCCACTTAATTCGCTCTGCTTGTATCACTGATTAGCGGCCGAGACATTATATCCTGAATTTTCCAGTTTTCACTGCCGCAGTCTAATCCGCGAAGAACCTTCCAGCCTTGACTTCCAACGATTCCAAGTTTTCAAGTGCGAAGTGCGACTTCCGCACCTATCCACATCCACATATCCACAATCTCACTCCATTCACTTGCAGCACTTTTGGCTTTGTGGTATCAGCCAGCTGATTGATTCAATCGCCGACAGCCGTCAGCCGACAGCAGACAGCCGATAAGCAAACACTTGGCTGCACTTTCTGTGCAATTTCTTTCACTTTCAAGAGCAATTTGCCGCTCTTTTCCCCGATATTTCCATCTATCTATCTATCTATCTATCTTTCTATCTTTCTATCTCGCCGTTGTCGTCGTCGCACCGCCCCCTCAGTTGCCAATCCTTCTCGTTGGCCTCTGGGTGAGATGTTGATTAAATAAATCACAAATAAAAATGATTATATTTAGACGCTGCTTCTGTCGCTCATGCTGATGCTAATGCCGATGGTGCTGATGGTTGGGCTGCTGCTGTCGTCAGCTGTCGTCGTCGCGGTCGTCCGTTCGCGTTGTCGTTGTCGACTGGAAAGCGCACTGAACTATGAAAATCCGCAAGCGGGCAAAAGCAAAGCGAGTGTCCGAGACTCGGAGACCCGCTAACCGGCCAACGGCAATGGCAACACATTAGCAATATGGCAACAGCAACAGCAACAACAGCAACAACAGCAATAGCAAAAGCAATAGCAATAGCAAAAGCGGCAACATTAGCAGCGACAGCAGCAACACGAGAGTCGAGACGGGAGATGAGAGAGTGGAGAGAGGAGAGGGGAGAGTGGAGCGTGGAGAGACGAGGAAAGAGCCCCCAATGGCACTTGCCCACCTGGCGATCGCCATCTCTCCTGATCTCTCCTGCTCTCCTGATCTCTCCTGCTCTCCTGATCTCTCCTGCTCTCGCCATCTCTCCATCTCTCCGGTTCTCTCGAGGCTCATCGAACAGCGTTTATATACATTTCACCGATAACCACAACACTGTACAAAATTTCCAAAGGTACTTTTGAACTTTTGCTTCACATTTCAATCGGCAATCGGGTAACTCTTTTCGAGCCTTAGCTAATGTCTTGTAAATTGGGAGAAAGATATGCCATAAATAGGTATCACCAATAACTGATATATTTCTCCCTGTGTAGACAGCGGTCTGCGACTCTTTTGCCTGGGAGGCTGCTCTCCATCGCCACAGCTCTCCATCTCCATCTCTGCCAATTATCAATCAGCTGGAACACCTGAGGGGCGACAAGGGGAGGGGCAGTCGAGGGGGCCGAGGGACTCTGGGCTCTGGGCGGATTTCTTCAATTTGCAAGTGCCGCTCGTGACTTGCCTTGGAAATGCCTAGCTGCTGCGCAAATGGGCGAAAATCGAAGGCGTCGCCAAAGGTAAGCGCAAAACAAAAACAAAACAAAATAAAAAAAGAGGGAAACCCAAAAAATATCGCAAGCAGAGGCAAAGTCAAAGGCAAAGGCAGAGGCAGAGGCACGCAAAAGCACAAATCGCAAGAGTTTCAAGATGTATTTGGAGAGCAGAGTGGATCGGGTTAGTGGCTAAGGAAGGTAATGGTAGTCATGGCCAAGGTTGAGGGAGCACCCAAAACCGAAACCAAAACCGGGTGCGAAGGTTAAGGCCACTGCTGAATCCTGATTCAGGCCCGTGCTGCGTGGTGCGTGGTGGCTCATTAAAATAGAATAATCAGGGAGCGAGCGGAGTGGGAAGTTCGGAAGTTCTGTTCGGTGGAGCGGATATCAAGGTCAGTGGCGCACGCTTATCAAAAGCGTTGATAGGGCTTTAATACGCTTGAAATTTCCTGGCAGTGAACTGATTGGTATCGATTCTATAGTATTTCCAGGTCAATTTAAATTCATTTTTGACAGCGCTGCCCCCCTGTAAATAAGAGTAAATAACTCACACTCAATTCGAGGAATATTCAAGTGCATTTTTCATAGTTTCCAAGAATAAAATTTCTTTATTTTATATTAATAATCGAGAAATGTGTTCCGAATTCTGACCTACTGCCCGCCGAAATGAGCACCACTCACAGTTCACAGCTGCCCCTTCCTTTGGCCATTTCCACCCACTCCATTACAAGCATTAGAAGTCACGTTCGGCCAATTAATTTGGCACACCGCAGAAGTGGGAAGAGCAGAGAGCAGACGGAGGAGACGGAGACCCAAAAACCAAACCCGATATCATTGGGGGCGACTGCAGTATCGAGGCGAGAGCCACTTTGCATGATTAGGAAATTGGATCAGGCAACGGACCCAGCGGGTTTGGAGCCACCGAGCCACCGAGCGGGTTGGACGAGTCGAGTGGAGTCGATCAAGAGGTGATTTCAGTTCTGGTTCTGGCAAAAACAAAATGTAAAACGAAAAAAGGCACACACCAAATGAATTGACGCAGTGGACCTTGGCTAACACGAACTAAATTGAAGTCCCAGTTATTCCGTGCTGTCCTATATTAGAGTACTATTTTCCATTTGTGTGCTGTCTGCCATCTGCTTTTGGGTCACCAAATCCTTAAGGACCACAACACATTAAATTAGATATATGAGACCCACATTAAAAATGTCGCCGCAGTTGAAAGCTTCGTTATGAAATCAATCCATAGAGAAGCTCAATTTAGGGGCGTAGATTATTTCAATCAGTTCATAAAAAAAATTATATTTCAGTACATCTTGTTGTGCAAAGTGCAAGTTGTGCCCATTAGCGACGTTTCGCTGTACCTGAAATAATCCAAAAACTGGGCTAGCCAACTGTCAAATAAAGAAATAACGGGGTGGGGATGGCGATGGCGCTGGCGATTTGGCCGAAGAGGAGGAGTTGACACCAAATTGGTAATTGGCACACCCGATGAAGACGACGATAATGAAGATCGCTCATAAAATCACCGGACTCATCGTCATGATGATGATGCCGTTCGTGTGGTTCGTCGTGTATGCAAAGTCCTCGGGGCCTGCAAACTTGACCAATATTTGCGAATGTCATTCCCCCACCGCTCCCCACTCCGCACTCTCCACTCCCTCACTCTCCACTCTCCACTCTCCACTCTCCACTCCTCACATCCCGACCAGTCTCAATGATTCTGTTACTGTTGTTGTGCAGAGAAAAAAATGTTAACCGGGGCCTAAATGTCAACTATAAAAACAAACTCTATGTTAAAGTCTTCTTATCTCGACACCACACTTGAATTTGTGGCTGTTTTACGTAAATTAGCTGGCAGAATTAGTGATTTAGATTTGAAAAACTTTGTTACGAAACATATAAGATTCGGTTTCCGGTTTTGATCCATGCGAGTGTTAGATGATCTCGGTTTCTCCCCGTGTATCTTCAACCAGTTCGGAGATAGAGCGACTGACTGAGAGTAAGCCTATTAGCGAGAGCAGCCACGAAATCGCGAAATGTACAAATAAAACCAAAACCGCACAAAATGTAAAATGCCGACTGAATGGGCACACAACAAAACAACAAAACAACAAATAAATAAAGCAAGAGCCGAGGAATTTGGAATGCTATGCTTTCTAACTGCGGTGATCGCGATAGTTCCTGAACATATACTCGTACGTACCTACCATATGTAAACACATAACATGTGGGGTATACATAATGGAGCTCCGCACGCACATGGGTGGCCAGCGAAACAACTAAACGCAAATCTGCTCCCCATTGGGCAAGCAGAGCAATCAAAATCAACTAAATGACATAATCTGCTGGAAAACACAACAGAGACGAACGAACACATTTTTCAAGCGACAAATTCTCATTCAAATTGGCCATTAGGAGCAACAAAAAGCAACGCTCAAGTGGCAAAGTCAACTAAACGATTCAAGTCGAAATGTTCAGAGGCATTTGCCTGCTGCCAAAGTAGTTAGTTTACATATTAATTAAGCGCAGCCATTTAAACAGTCATTAAAGCAATGCCTCTATGAACCCCGTCACTTGGATGACCCATACACTTTTGGTTGAGCCAATAGAAATATGTGGTAAATGAAGTGTTGATGTTTTGCTTTGTGAACAACAGATAGCTAAAGCTCAGCTGAAACGGTACTACTGTCTTCACCGCTGCTGTAGCTCACAGGTAATGCCAACTGTTGCTCCCATGTTAACTTTTTGGCTGTTAACACGACTGAGCATGCTAACATGCTAATTTATTTATAAATAACCGCAATGGCCAATTTTGGCGATCAAATCGGATGTGTTTCACACCACGAGAACTACGAACACTTGTGACACACGAATTTTGGATCGGTTTTTAAGCCTTGATTAAACTGATTTTCCACAGTGTAGTTTACAATCAGGTGGGTCTGTGAAGGGCTCATGTGGACTCCGTTTCATTTGACAGTCTCTGATTTATGCATGGGCATGGGTCATCAAGTGATCACGACAGGTTTTCATGCCGGTCAAATGCATCGCACAACACCCATACAACTACACACGCGGGCAACATGTTGTGCACTGCCAAAAATGGTACACTTTTAGGTATTATTTTTCGAGATATTTTTTAATTATTTGAGAACTGTTTGTTGCATATTTTTGAATCGAAATAATCCACATACACAAAAGAGTCCCAAACACTGGTGTCACTGATTATGTACTGTTTCTTCAAGTGTATTCAACTCCAGTGGGCGTGGGAATATTGCTAAGCTTTTGCCTAGCGGCTCTGCCTTTAGTTTTGTCTTCGACATGGGGTTTGTTCGCCCCTCCCATTTGCCCATTTGCCCTTTACCCTCCGCCCTGCGGGTGATGACGTCACTCGCAGGTGCTGTCATCGCTCAAGAATGTGCATTTGTTTTTGTTTTTGTTTTTGGTTCGAACGCGAGACCGAGAGCTCAATTGGCACCCCCTGCGTATGAGTATTATTCCCGTGGACAATGCCACTGAATGCTGAATTGTTGAATTATACATCATCGTGTTTATAATGTGCCTCCTCCATCGATTACTCACTCACTCACTGTAGAACTGTCGCTCTATCGACGGCTGCTTCTTGTCCCTTTGTGTGTGTGTGTGTGTGTGTTTCTGAAGCTAATTTCTCAGCCGCCGTGTATTATTTGACTTTTCACCTCGGACAGGCGAGCGCACACGAAACAGAATAACTTCACAGCCAATGCTATAAATGCTATAAATGCTATAGGGCCACTTGGGAGTTTCGGTGGTATTCTCCCCGATTTTCTCTTTTCGGTTCTTTGGCTTCCGCCGATGAAGTCCGTCGTCCGTCGTCCGTCCGTTCCCGGCAACGGTTAGATAACTTTTGAGCAGCTTGTCGTCATAATTAATAATGCGTTGCAAACAAACAGCCAGAAAGCAGCGACAACAACAACAACCAAGGAATGGCACAAACAAAAAACAACCAAAAAAAAAAAAAAAAAAAACCCGAAAAAATACAGAAAGAAAACTCTCAACGCAGCGCAAACGAAAACGAAACTAAAAATGGTTTAGCTCACTGAGAACAAAAGCTGTGAGGGAAGCACTTTCGCGTACTACTCGATAATTATAAGATGTTACTCATAGGGCGATAATTAATAAGTAGTAAGTAATAATATTCCCATTACATATCCCGTAAACATATGTTTATATTGGAACTCTGATTCATTTCCGAAGTGTAACCCTATAATTTGAACTTTATTTTCCTAATA